TTTGGATATCCAGATTCTAGCTAGGCCTGGCATATTTTCCTCCAGTATGCCGTAAAATAAGTTTTCCAACCCTTATGAATGTTCTTCTTCCCCTTCTGGAATCCCGATCAATCTGAGATTCAACTTTTTAACATAATCCCACACTTCCTGTAAGCTTTGGTCTTGTCTCTTGTTTCTGTACACCCTTACTTACTCTGATTTGTTTAGCATGTAGGTATAATCTTCAAGCTCTGAGATTATTTCCTCAGCATGATCTATCCTATTTTTGAGGCTTTCCACTGTATTATGGAGTTCCTTGAATATTTCCTTCATTGCCAGAATTTCTGCTTGGTTTCTCTGAATTACTTCTATATCTTTGGAGAATTTTTCATTCATTTCCTGAATTGTTCTTGTGGTTTCTCTATGTTGGGATTCTATTTTCTCTTCAATTCTGTTGAACTTTCTAACAATCCATATTCGGAATTCTTCCTCTATTAGTCTAATCATATCTTGTAAGTTGGTGTCAGTTGGTAGGGTATGAGTATTTTCTTTTGGAAGTGACTTTTTTCTCTGATCTTTCATGATTCCTGATGTCTTTCTCTGGTTCTTCCTCATCTGGATAATTTGTTGAGGACCAGAGGTGCTGGAACTTGATTATGAGCTGTGTTCTTGGGTTCCAAAGGAATGATCCTTGGAATAGCTGGGGAGTATGTGTTCTGGTCTTGTATTGTCTAAGAGGAGTTGGAGCCTGTTGGATTTCTTTGACCTGATGTGTTCACCTTCTATCCACAGAGTTTAGTGGGTTTGTGTCCCTTGCTTAGACACCCAAGGGATCGTTCACTCTAGTGAGATGGAGACCAGTTTCCACCACTAGGTTTTTAATGGGAGGCACTGTGTTAAGCACTGAGCTTACTCTTTCTTTTGTTCTCTGTGGTTTGTGGGAAGGAGTCAGTTATCAATGTATCCCAAGATCTTTGTATTGCGTTCTAAGCCTCCAAATAAGATATACAGGTATCTCAGTGTTAAGCGAATGTCTTGCCACTCCCAAGGGTTCCTCGAGTCCTCAGGAATAGCAGTCTCCTTCACTACTCCACCTTGCTTTAATAGGCTCTGCTCTCTGGGCACAGATCGCAAACATCTAAATGCAGCAAGAAACCACCCAAGTTCTAACTTGCGAGATAGCCAGTTAGCCACCAAACAAAACACTGCTCTCTCCTTTCCGCCCTTTTAAATCCTACTTCTGAGGCCACCTGCTGGATTAGGGCAGAGGGTGAGACTGAGCTTACTACCAGGGCAGGCCTCTGCAGTGTTTCCAATCTACAGGGTGGTCGTGGCACGCTTTGGTGGCACTGATGCCACAGGTCTCCTATTCGGTGGAGGACTGGGTTGGGTGTGGCAGACTGGGTTCAAACAACCACTGCACTCCCTAAATCCCCCTCTCACAGAGACCCAGTGGTTTATGTGTGGGGAACTGCCATCCGACTACCCAGCGCCAGCCAAAACTTCAATGATATCCAACGGTCAAGCCTCCTTTAAGGTAGAGTCCCCACTTCCTGGACCTGAAAGTGTCCTGAGGAGGAATGCCCAATTCGGCACTGGTTCCTGGGGTACGGGGAGATGGCCGCTGAGTTCAGCACCTGCAGGTTCAGCTCCTGCGCCTGCTTCAATGGAGCACTGGGAGCTCAAAAAGTTGCCTTCTCCAGAAGCCCGAACAGTTCAGTCAGTTTGGGGTAGAGGGGGTGCCAGAGAAACGCTTCCAGTGCAGCCCCCGCAGCATCTCCACGCTACAGGGCAGTGCAGCAGTGCTAGGATGCGGCTGCTGGGTTCAGACCCTTCCTGCACCCGCCACTGCCTCAGCGAGGCGCTGCGGAGGGTTCAAAATGCTGCCTGCTCCGGACTCCCCTCCAAGCTGCTCGTCCACCCACGTTGCCACCTCCCACCACCTTCAGGCAATTCCCTGCCTGCGGGAGTGTGGACAGTGGGGAAGGGATCGTCTCCTGTGTAGGGGGGAAGGAATGCCTCCTCCAGCCAGCCTGTGGGGCGGCAGATGCGCAAACGCGCTCCATCCCCACTATTTTTCCGACTCCCCGGGTTTAGTGGAAGAATTTCGGTTCACCTTTGATTATTGTCCAGGATTTCCGTATCCCGGTGTCTCTTTGCAGTCTTGCGAAGCTGATCCAGAGTAGGTGCAGATGACTTGCGTGTGGTTGTCCGTCCTCTTCACCTCTCACCCCTGGAATAGAAGGTGTGGAAGCCTTCAAACCCATTCACATCCTCACGACCCATCGGCTCTGCTGCTTTTCCCACTCGCTCACTTGCATGTTGGACACGTCACCAATAGATCAGAACTCTGGAGAAGTGCTCCGGCGCCCTCGAAGGCTACGGAGAAAGCCCCGCTGCTCGCACACGCGCTCTCGTGCCTTGCCCCTCCAGCCCCGTGCACCCCTCTACAGTCCTTATCTTGTTCGGGTTCCCTAGGATCTTGGGTACTGGAGAGGCTTGCCTTGTCCTTGACGTGCCTGTCTCTTTACCCCCCGTCGTCAGGCTTGCTTTCTGCTTGCCTCTGCCCACTGCTTCGGCCGTTTCTTTCTGTCTCGTCCACAGGTTCCTCTTTCCCATCTCACCAGCCTCTGGAGTGCTCCCCAGGCTCCGTCCACAGCCTGCTCTTATGTGTCCAGACTCTGCAAGGGGAGCTCCCAAGCTCTCTGGTTCAGTTGCCCTCTACATGCCGTGAGTCCTCAATCTGTGTCTTCACCTCAGTGCTCTTTTTGAACTCCAGACCCTACATCCAAGTGAGAACTGGACATGACAGTACTTCTTGTGTGTCCCAAAAGCACCTTCAACGCGTTATCCCTGCCTCTACGTCAGCTCCCTCTTTAGATTATTCTTACAGATTCCTAACTTTTCCCTTAATTTTTTTCTCCTTCTAATATGTGGAATCATAATGCAGCCAGTGTAATCTTCACAGAGTGTGAGTGGGATCATGTTAATCTTCTACTGGAAACCTTGCAACAGCTCTCTCTGGTCCTCAGGGTAACTGGTATAAGGTCCTATGGCCTGGCCCGGGCCACCTCACCACTGCCGTCCTGGACCGAGGACGCCTGGTGGACTTTAAAGTCCTCTGTGAGGTTTCAGGTCACGTTTCTCTCCCAGTGAATCACTCAGTTCTCCAAGGATGTGCAACCCCATGGTTTCCCTTGCCTGAAAGGCCTAGGACCTGCAATTTCTTCTGCCTTCTATCTCCTATTTGCTCTTTAGGTCTCAGTTTAAATCTGACCTTCTCTGGGAAGTCTTCCCTGCTCCCGTGCTAGATGACTCGGCTGTGCACTCACTCCCCTGACAACTCGGCTTCACCAGGGGGCATTTGTGCCGTCGTGTTGTTGTGGACAGATTATGCACTTCTCATTGCATTGTCCCGTGTGCTTCCAGAAGGCAGGAAATCCTCATGGGATGTGTTACTTTGGACCTAGTTAGAACCTAATTAACTTATTATCTTTTCTTCTCTTTCCCCATTACTCAAAAAATTAAAAGTCCTACACAAATTAATTGTACTGTTTTTATACTCAATGCCTTAAATACATAAAAGAAATAACAAAGAGACTTAATTTCACAGTATCTTTAATAGGATTGGCTTTTTAATGTCCAAATTGACATGACACTTGCTTATGGCTGAGGAAGAAGAATCAATTAGTTACTCAAAATATATTTAATATAAAATGTATTATGTTTGTGAGTGATTTATAGTTTACAGAGAACTTCCACACACAGTATTTCTTTCATCCTCAATTAATTCTGTAAGGCAGCTCTTCCTATCTAATATTTCAGCACTTAATTCTCAGAGAGGTCCTTTGGCTTGAACAATGACAAGCAGGTGAATAGAAGAGTAGCAGGTAACAGGTCAATTTTATCAACTGAGTGCATGCTATTATTTCCACCTGATACTATTAACTGTCCCTAGGATATTATTTTAACAATATTCAGAATGAGTATTTCAACATCTGAATAAAATGGCAGTGCTTTTGTACTGTTCGATGAACTAAGAATTGCTAGAAACGGGGACACATCTTGGCTGATCAGTAAACTCCCACGTATCCCAAAGCCAACATGTTCAAGCTGAAGTCATTGTCCTCCCTCCTCAAACCAGCTGCCCTCTCAGCATTGCCTGTCTCAGTGGCACTGTTAGCCACTCAGCCCCCACGCAGAAACCTGGGAGTCACTCTTGTACTTTCTCCCTTACACCCCCCTCCCCACTATCACCAAGCCAGTCAGTCATCAAACCAGCTAATTGCATTTCCCCTCTCAAATGCCGGCTTTCTCGCTCTCTCCTGGGCTACTGTAGCAGCACATGAGCTGGTCTCCTGACATCACGTCTAATCCCCATAGTGTAACCCTCCATTCCTCAGTTACCTTTACTTCGGTCAGATGCAAACCCTACCTTCAGTCAGATGCAAATCCCCCAGTACAATAACCTCCGTGGCTCCCTGTTTTCTGAGGAATGGGTTCCTGTGCCAGAGCATGGTGTGAAAATGCCCAGCCTCACCTCCTGCTGCACTTCACACTTTCCACTCTAAACTTTCCACTTATTTGTAGTCACCTGTCGCCACATGCTCGCTTGTGCTTTCCTGCCTTTGCTCAGGTGTCCTTGACCTAGAATGCACTTCCCACCTTTCTCGCTTGGCCTGGCTCAGCTCAGGCACCATCTCTTCCTGAAAATGCCTCCTGAACCTCTGCACCAGACTAAGGACCCTTCTGGGTGCTCTCATGGGTATCTGCCCACATCTGCAGCTTAGCCATTGCTACATTGTGTTGACTACCTAGTTATATATCTGTCTGCCATACAAGTCATAATGTCCTGAAAGGGTGAGACCATAAATCACTTACCTTAGTAGCCCCAGCACCTAGGGCAATGCCTTAGGAACTCAATCAACCTTTGCTGAACTGAGTAAATCAAGCCGTCCTGTTTTGTGGGTGTTATGCCATATTATATATTTTTGTCCCCATTTCTGATTTTATGTTTTCAGGTGTCTCTGTTCAACTATGTGTTTTTGATCTCTTGGGCTTTTGCTCTGCCGTATGCAAAGCTACGCCGTCTGGCTTCAAGCATCTGCACTGTCTGGACATGTGTGATCATCGTCTGCAAAATGTTGTACCAGCTCCAAACCATCAAGCCTGAGAACTTTTCTGTTAACTGTTCCTTGGTGAGCCTCAATGGTGGGGGAATATCCCTGACTGCCCTTTAGGGAAGTAAGGCAGATATTTGGGGAACCTGCATCCCCAAGCACATTCTGCCTAGCTTGTGAGTTGTTTCATCCAGGTTGGATATGTCCAGCCCTGAGTGCTGCACCTAATCTCCTCTCATACTGGGATTCCCCCCGAAACAGGCCTTTCCTTCCCCAATCCTACCAACATCCCTTTGCTGAAGGAGAATGATCGAAACTCTCCTAATCTGTGGAGCTTTTTGTTACGCCATTTTATCTTCTTTTCAGCCAAATGAAAATCAAACAAACATACCCCTTCAGGACCTGAACAAATCTCTACTCTACAATGCTTCCATTGATCCAACAGAGTGGGTCGGCCTGAGGAAGTCTTCTCCTTTGCTCGTCTACCTGAGGGTAATGGCTGTACTGTGCTTATTTTGAGCCTCTACATGGGGATAGTTTGGAATCCTTTTCCTTGAGACTCTTAATATCACATCTGATAGTAACCTCACCTTCTCAAATGGCATTTGGAATCACCTTTGCAACAAATTTAAAGGTTAAAATCAGTCACGCATTGTGCTGGGGATGAAGATATCCAAACTCTCAGAGATTAGTTGAATAAAATATGACAAAAACATTTACTGGAACATTTTGCAGCCATTACAATATGGAGGTCATGGATACATTAGAATTAAAACATGTCTAAAACATACTTTTCAGTTAAGAAAAAAAAGCAGATCTCAAAACACAGTGTGTAGTATGATCTCTTCTAGAGACAAAGAAAAATATTGGGTAACATATACCAAATGGTCAACAATGATGATTTCTGAGGACTGAATATAGAAAAGAAATTTTTTTACAAGAAATTTTTGCCATCTAAATTCTGTTTCTTAATAATTTTTAATGAAGAACATATATTACATTCAGAAGTAATAAACCATATCTTAGCGAAAGGAACTTTGATTGCAAATAGTCATACATTCATAATGAAACGATATACTTCAGATTTTTCACATTTACTTTGATGGATAATCTGAGCATCCTAATTGTATTACACCAACAATGCGCTTAGCAATAAAAACATTTATACTCAGCAGCTGAGATTTTGAAATGTACAAACATCCCATTTTCTTTGTGTAGTCCTAGTTTTTACTCATGCGGTAGAATCTTTTGTAATAGTATCTGCCATAAATAGCTATTATAAGGATAAAACAAAATGATATCTGAAAAGGTGATTAGAATAGTGTCAGGCACCTATCGTTCCATGAATGTTAACTATTTTTATTACCACTATTATGATCACCATTACATTTTACTGTCATCAGCTTGCTTCTCAATTTACTACTCTCTCTAGCCAGATTTCGGGGTGTTCAAAAATTTCGCCCTAACTAGTTTCCCACTCTCCATCTTGGTGTGTCTCCAGCATGTTTCTGTACTGTTCCCCACTTCTAGCTGCAAACAAGTTTGGACCACTCTCCTCAGATAACAGGAAACTGCTCTGTGTGGTGTGTGGTGTGTGGTGTGTGGTGTGTGGTGTGTACTTTTTGAGGAATAGGAATGAGAAGCAGCAGTCTTATATCGAGAGATTCTAGATCCCATTGCCATGGAAATTAGCCACTTATATAGTGGAGGTAACTTCACAATAAATAAGATAAGGAAAATGAACACTGAGCTCAAAATTATATTTAATAGAGCTGGGATTTTATAAAACATTATCCTTTCAGACATCAAGAATTAAGTACAATGATTTACTTTGGGGATTGCTTGAAATTACCAAGTCATAAAGTATTAGGCATGCACAGCCGTGTTTCTCACCCTGCAGAACAATCTGCTGATGCTGGCTATCCTGGCCTTTGAAGTCACCATTTACCGCCACCAGGAATACTATCGAGGCCGAAACAACCTCACAGCGCCTGTGTCTAAAACTATCTTTCACGACATTACAAGACTACATCTAGATGATGGGCTTATTAATTGTGCCAAATACTTCATAAATTACTTCTTCTACAAATTTGGTCTGGAGGTGAGTTTCCATGCTGATGTGTTGAAATTCTTTTTTCCATCAAAATTTAAGCCTTTAGCCATTTGGCCACTGGATCTTTGTTATGCGTCTCCTGGCCGTGACGACTGTCTCTTCAGGAGTGACAGAGGGTGTTTCTACTGATAGGTTAATTGGGCGTGGCCAAAAATTTCCCAAGGGCAGATGCCGATCCTCCCCGCTCTCTACCACCTCCCGCAGCGGTGCACTTGGCCTCTCCGGATCTCCAGAGCCATTTAAACACATGGACGTCAGTTGTCATGTTAACTTACTAGGAATAAAGTATTATTATCTTCTTTCTTTTTGTGCATCCTGAAAGTATAACCTGCAGCCGGAATGGACTGTCTTAACTTAAAATGGTTGTGGTAGTGCTTATTTCTCAGTGGAATGAATTTGGAACAGTGTTTCATGAAGAGATCATAGTTGTTCTCTTTATTGTTTGAAGGAGATAGTCAGTTTTTCTCCTAGAAGTAATCTGAGCAGCATTTCTGTCTTCCTACTAAAAGACACTCAAAAGATCAAGCTCTGGGCTCCTGTGCAGACAGACCTGCCCTGAGGAATGCAGGTCTCTGCTGCCTGCACATGCCTGACATCTGGCACCTATCCGCTCCCCTGTAATCCCAATCTTTTGCTTCTTCTCATCCTTACACAGACCTGTTTCCTAATGTCAGTGAACGTGATCGGCCAGCGAATGGATTTCTATGCCATGGTTCATGCCTGCTGGCTAATTGCTGTCCTATATCGGCGCAGAAGAAAAGCCATTGCGGAGGTCTGGCCCAAGTACTGCTGCTTCCTGGCATGCATCATCACCTTCCAGTATTTCATCTGCATCGGCATCCCGCCTGCTCCTTGCCGAGGTGAGCATGCCCTTACCTGGAGCTTTCAGAAGCAGCCATTACCATGTGGACAGCTGGGAGAAGAGTGATGAAGAAGAGTACTGACTGTGCTGTTCACCATTTCCCTCCCTGCAGATTACCCGTGGAGATTCAAAGGTGCCAGCTTCAACGACAACATCATAAAGTGGCTGTACTTCCCAGATTTCATTGTGCGGCCCAACCCCGTGTTTCTCGTCTGTAAGTGTTTCAGCCACAGGGCCACAGAGCATTGCAATTCGGGGTTATTGCTAATCACTCTTCACGTGTTGTACATTAGTGCCTTTGCGTCTTCCGCCAGACTTTATAGCCATGTAAAGGCTTGTCTTTATGCATTAATATCACACATCATTAATGGCTTCTACTTGCCATATTACTTTTGCAAAATTAATAAGTCAACATTGGAAATACAATATTCACTTGCATAATTGCACCTCCCAGCAGCCCCCGCCCCCAACGCACACACACATCTACACACCCACTTTTTAAAAGGCAGACCACAGAGAGAGGCCTGTGTGTTGCAACTCAAGTGTTTTCTGGGTGCCACTGCAAACACACCAAACTTAAAGATAGGGCTGTGGGAGCTAGGAGGATGCTGCCCAAATTTTAGTTGCTCTAGAGCTGGCCTACTCTAGAGCTGGCCTACTCTAGAGCTGGCTTGCCCAGGGCAGCTGGTGATCCAGAGGTCACAACAGCCTACCAAGACCATGGGGCATGCTGGGTGCTGCAGAAAACTCAAGAGTGACTGCTCTTATGACTGCCTAGACATATTCAGGTTTAATTTTTTAAAACAAGGAAGCAACTTGTGCTGCAGGCTGCCAGGCAGGCTCGGTCTGAGGCCTGTCTTGGGCAGGGGCGGTGGCGGCAGCTCTCTCGGAAGGCTCTCTATGCTCCCGCAAGCTGGTCCATACATCCAACTGCCCTCGCCACGCCTGCAGCGCGCCTTGACTCAGGAACAGTCTTTGGTTACAAATGCAAATGGGGATGGAGAGAATAAAGAAAAAAAGAATGCCTGCGTCTGCCATGTGTACAAAGATAAAGATGCGGACATTGCTCAAATGGACACCTCAAAACTGGTAGGAGATAAATGCAAATAAACACTGTCCCGTAAGAAACTCATGAAGATCAGTAATTAGCACCTAACACTTTGACTCACCAACATGCAAACGAAATCCAGAAATTCCCCCACTGTGAGCCACTGGAATGTCCGTGGTCACTCTCTGTCCCCAGAGGTGGGGAAGGTGTGACTTGGCTTCAACGCTGGAAGCCAGGATGAATGTTGCTATGAACCACGGGAGCATGACTCAGGGAGGACAGGGAGCACTCGTGTGAGAATGCCCTGCACTGTGTGAACCGGGGGAGGAGGAGGTGGCCTAATGACCTCACCCTTGTCTTGCCAGACGACTTCATGCTGCTCCTGTGTGCCTCCTTACAACGGCAGATTTTTGAAGACGAGAACAAAGCTGCAGTGCGCATAATGGCAGGGGACAATGTCGAGATCTGCATGAACCTTGATGCGGCCTCCTTCAGCCAACATAACCCTGTACCAGACTTTATTCACTGCAGGTAACGATAGCTTCACATTTGTTAAGCCACTTTACTGTGTGCAGTTGGGTTGCTCTACTACAGAAACTCTCTGCCTGCTATACTTGGAAAATTGATCAGCTGTACTGTACACAGTGGAGCTAATAAATGCAGGGCAGTGTGGCTCAGGGGCCTGGAGACTGGGCCTCTGAGTTATAGCCCTGCATCTGCTTTTGTCAGTGTGAACCACCTTTCCATGCAATCAGTTTCTCTTCTGCTCTTCATACAGAAACTGACTTGTACCAATAATACCAGTTAGCAGCTCTTTAGCAGACAGCCCTCCTCCTCACTCCCCATCCCTCCTCCTCATCCTCATCTTCCACCCCTCATGCTCATCCTCATCCCTCCTCCTCATTCCCTGCCCCTTATCCCTCATCCCTCCTCCCCATCCCCTGTCCCTCATCCTCATTTCCTGTATTCACAGAGGACTGAGGAGGTGGGTCCCTAGCACCCTTGCTTGTGCTCCCCTTTAGCAATGTCCCCTCTGTGGCCATGCAACAGCGTGACTAAGGACTAATCACCTAACCCCTGCTGCTCACGGACTCGTGTCACCCTCCCATGCTTTCACGGGGATGTGGGAAGAGGCTTAGCACAGTCCCAGCCTGCACGCACCACGTGGAGGGAGGTCACAGGTGACGCACAGGCCAGCTGACCCTCCACTCCAGAGGCTGCTCTCCAGCTTCTGACCTGCTGGAGATTCCTGCCCACGTGGTGTGCTCGCCCTCGGCCTGAAGTTGTTATTTTAAGCAGCTCTCTTATCCCCACTTCTAAGGTGAGAGCACTTTAGCCAAAGACCACTTCTAACTTACTTCTATACTTGTCCGCCTTTCCCTCCCCTTACAGTTGTTGGCCTACAGTGCACTAATGGCAGTTCTAAGCACTTACCCTGCCAGGCTCTGAGTAGGTAGTATTATTATCCCCACTTAGTAGGTGACAAAACTGCAGCAAAGAGAGCAGACATAGGCAACAGCAGAACAAGGTTTCGAACCCAGTCAAACTAGCTCCCGAATCTGAATGTTGAAGCACGTTAATGCTTCAATATATATAATCAGTAAGTTAATTTGCAAAAAACTGATATTCTGTATAGCCATAAAGATTCTATTTGTAAATCAAGTACCATGCTAAACACTAATCTAAGGTAGGACTCCCCTTTTTTACCTCTCCCCTGTGATGCTAAGAAAAAATCAGTCCAGCTCATCCTTTTCCCTGTTGCAAAGGGACGCTGTATTTTATGATGTACTCACAAAAAACATGACATCAACTCAAATGAAAAGTTTGTGTGCCATTTATTTTTAAAAACAAAAAGTTTTCTTTGTTTTAGTTATTTCAATTTTTTGGATTCGTTTCTCAGTAAGGACTGCCAGCAAAGTGGCCTCTCAGGAAGTGTCCTGTCAAATACAGCAGTAGTGAGTGAGAAGCTGACGTGCGAGTTTGCTTGTCAGCAGCCCCACTGTCCTGCCCTTCTTGACCTCGACAGGCTCAGCTCCCCAGCAGCCTGGGCTCCCTGGGAAGTGCCAGAGTTCTGACAGTTGGTGGCCCCTAACCACAGTCCCCATCACCAGGGCTCAGTCTTTCCACTCAGGGGCCCTCCGCCTCCTCTTCCGAGCACGTCTACTGGTTTCTCCATGATATCCTCTTAAGCTTAGTTTTATGATTTCTGGTTAAGTGCCAAGGTGTGAAGGCCAGGGCTCATGGAGCAAGAATTAAGCACTGCAGGAAAGGAAGGAAGTGCATAGAAAGCCACGCTGCGTGCACATACATGCACACGTGCACATAGGCACACATACATGCACACATGCACATAGGCACACATACATGCACACGTGCACATAGGCACACATACATGCACACGTGCACATAGGCACACATACATGCACACGTGCACATAGGCACACATACACCAGCAGCCCATTGCACTGAATTCAAACTACACACACTTCAGAAGGCCCTGTGGGCTCAAGCAAATCACTGACTTTACCTGTGATGATCCTGTAGTACAGAGAAGTACTGACATTTTGTTCATTCTCCTTTGATTATGATGTCATGGAATGGTGTGATATATTTTAGAAGAAAAAATTAAAATATTTTAAGTATTTTACTCTAGAAAGAGTAAAGGTCAAAAGTTCACTTATCTGAAAAATGTAGCATTAAGGCCCAACTCAGGCTTATTCCCTGATAATGCCAGACAGGTCGAGTGCATTGCAAATGTTATTGAGATGACTCATTAACATCCTACAAAATTACAACCCATGAATGAAAGAGCTAACCCAGAATTGGCTCTCCTATGCTTCTCCCCAACCTGGGAAGAGAAACAGCCAAAGCAAAACCCCCCAAACAGAGAAGCTATAACAATCGAATGCAGAGGGGAGTTGGCCTGCAGTGTGTCTTCTGTCAGATGACAGTTGACCACACTCTGGAGATCTGTTTACTGAAGACAACTGAGACCCAAACGCCAGCCTCACCTTCCATCAAGAGGCTGCAGTGGAAGATGGGCCCCAAAGAGATCCTGACTCGCCCCAGGGACAGCCAAAAACAGAGTATTGGAAAGAGCCCCAAAGCCCCTCAGTGACTATGTCTGCCTCCTCAGAACTGCTGCGCCTGCAAGGGGAGATGTTCATCTCTAGTAAAGCCTTTGTATGTGGTGTGGATTTGTTTTAATCCGTTAACTTCTAATTCATCAAAAGGAATACACTCATCAAAAGGAATACATTCTTAACTTTTCTCTCACTAGCCCGGAGACATCTGTAGCTCAGAGTTTCTTTTGCCCTACACGTACTCATGCCTCCTGTAGAAAGATAAAGAGGAATTTTGAGTACTCAAGTGGGCAGAGACCATTGTTGTGTGTGAGCCTGTGGCCTGGAGGAGACGATGATAACACACTCATTGTTTCCACGACTTCCCTATTTGTCCAGGGCTGTTTATGAGAGGGCTTCCCATACCAGGCAGTGTTAAATGAAAGATGAATAAGCGCTCATAGTATGGCTTGCAAAGTGCTTGGCCCACAATCCAATACAAAGTATGAACTTTTCTCTTATTAAAGTAGATTTTCCTGATTCTGTCTATTTGTTTTGTTGCTGTCCTTTCATTGCTCAGCTTTGTTTTCCAGATCTTACTTGGACATGTCCAAAGTGATCATCTTCAGCTATCTCTTCTGGTTCGTTCTCACCATCATCTTCATCACTGGGACGACCAGGATCAGCATATTTTGCATGGGTTACTTGGTGGCCTGTTTCTATTTCCTGCTCTTTGGAGGCGACTTGCTATTAAAACCCATCAAGAGCATCCTGCGCTATTGGGACTGGCTGATTGCATACAACGTTTTTGTGATTACGATGAAAAATATCCTGTCAGTAAGTAGCTCCCACTATGTAACACATTTGTGGTTTCAGTGTAAGAGTAAACAATCTACTCAGTGGTTATTAAAAGCCAAGAGCCTGCCATGTTGCTCTTTTAAAAGCCCCAAATAAGATGCTACAAAATTCAGAATTTGAATGACCATTTGTTACTCTTTGTTTTGTCATATTAAACAGGATCCTTTTTGTTCATTTCCACCATTTCAAGGCACCATGACTAAAGGATATGTATTCACAAGAACAAATTCTAAAATGTATTTTATTAATTAAAATTCCACCTCTTCTGAGGAACAATTTGTCATCACTCCTGGCCTGTGTAATGAAGTGGCCCTGTTATGAGCTGAACAAAAATCATTGAGTCTTTTCAAAAGTCATATCATGTTGGCAAAAAGCAGCCCTCTTGCCTACAGAAAAATTGTAGAAATATAAAATAAAATGAGCATAGTTTCTCTTTAACACTGCGGGGAGTAGGGAAATGAAGTGGAGCAGGCTACTGCAGGCAAGACTGTTTTATGTACCCCTAAGATGTGGGTAGATATGAGAGAAGAGACAGCTTCCTGGTTGCCTCTGAGCGTGGCCGTCCAGATGAGGACACAACTGGGACAACGTAGGGCTGAAGGAACATACCCCTCCCTCTTCTACCGTGTCTGGCTGCCCTGCTACTAAATAGCTATGTTCCAGGGCAGGGCTCTGCGCCTGACGTGACAGGTAACTCAAACTGCCCACCAGTGATTCCAGAGTCAGATCAGTCTTTCAGGCCGCAGGGACACCATTAAGTTATTTAGTGCTGCAGGAAATTAACAGCTGAAGGAGTTAACAGCACTCTAATTGGCCCCGGTGAAAGTTCATCCCTGTGCCTTCTTCTCATAGGCTGTGACTGATAGTGGGCTGCAAGGGCAGCAATAGAATGATTCCCTGCTGCTTCCCTTCCTATAGCTCTTAAGGACGAGAGCGCACCAGGTGATTCAGCTGTGAAAGCTCTTTGATTTTGTTTGTTTGTTTGTTTCTTTGCATGTGCATCATTGTGTTTGAAGGTCTTGGAAAGCCAAGTCTATGTAGCCTTGAATAGGTATTTGGAGAATCTATTTTCTCTGCCCATTGAAAGGTTAATTTTCTGGTTGACAGTGAAAGTGACTTTAATTCTGTACTTTTACCTCACTGATGTTAACTCACATTTGGAGTAGTAGTGTTGTTGGGGTAGCAGTAGTAATAGAGTTGTTGGGGAGAGTAAGAGACAGGACAACAGAACACCAGTTCATTCTGAAACCAGTCTAATAGCAAGAGACCCGCCGCTGAAGGCTGACCTCACCACCATTCCTGGAAAATGTGTGGGGACAAAGTTCATTCATTCACTCTGTAAACCTACTTCGCTAAGGTATTTTATATCTTGAAGAATTAGAGATAAACTGTACTCAGGTTTTAACCCCAGGGAATCATATTCTAAAAGGGAAGATAGATCTTCTTATTATATAAAGAATTATAATATAATCTGTTCATGATAATTATCTCAACATTTTAGGGTAACAAAACAAATGAAAAAAAAAAAAAAAAAAAAAGGAATGCCTAATATCTGGCCTACATAAGTTGGGAAGAGCCTCCCTGGAGGTGATGCCATTTGAACACGTCAGAAAGTTATAAATAGACTGAAGGATTTCCAGGGAGAAAAAAGGGGAGGGAATTCCCAGCCCAGACAACTGGAACAAAAGCATGGTTGTATAGGATTGGGATCTTGGTTTGGGAAGCACATTCCCAGGCCTGGGGAACTCATGCTGAGTAACTGCTGCCGTGGAAGCAAACCCTAATGATTTTCTCCTGTCTTGCCTGTTCCAGGAAATATACACAATTCAGCCATCACCTTTATGGGTTGGTGTACAGTGACTAATGTGTGTTTAAACTTTTCCCACCTCCAAATTTGAAATTAATGTAACTATAACAAGAAATTCATTGTTATGAAACAACCAGGTGCCAATCAACAGCGATGATTCCCTTACCAAGAGAATTGTCCAGGCAAGGCTCAAACGCATACTCCGTTCCCATTCTAAGCCTGACGCCTTGCAGCCATGCCTGGGATGCTGTCCTGGGAACAGCATGGGTTAATTTGTCTGGCCTCTGAGAAAATAACTCGACCAAAATTAGAGTCCTAGGGTTCAATGCTTACCCATTTGTTATCACAGATTGGGGCTTATCCTACGACAGATTTTCAAGATTTCCTCTTTGAAAAGAAAGGTGCTTCCAAGTGCAGAAAGCATTTCAATAAAGACTCTACCTTTATCATTGGGTTCAATTTTCCCCAGGAATTTACATTGCTCCTAAAGCATCTAATACACTCTTACATGTGACTGAAGTTTTATGTACCTCCTGTAATCATTAGCACTGAGACCTTGTGAATTCTTGCACATGTTGGGATCACAAGATATCAAACTATTTTCCAGGTACAGAGTTTTAGAATCTGTCCTCCCTTTTGTTTTTCAGATAGGAGCATGTGGATACATTGGAACACTGGTCCAAAACAGTTGCTGGTTGATCCAAGCTTTCAGCCTGGCCTGCACAGTCAAAGGCTACAAAATGCGTAAGTATGAAAAGGAAATCTGGGTAGTAGAAGGGCAGAAAAGGAAGGACAGTTGTACTGTTCTCATTTAAAATGTGGGCCAAAGCACTTGAGGAAAAGAGATAAAAGTAGAGGTCGATTCTATCTGTAGATGGAAGCCATAAAACTGTACTGCATCGTGGCTCTGTTGTCACATAACATGAGGTGTCACTATACTGGGCATCTTTGATCATCTTCTAGAAACTTCCCGAACCCTGAGGATTTGGAATTGGGAGTCTAGGGGTTGGGTATAATGCTGTAGTAACTCTCCAGACTTTTTGAGTTGCAATTAGTAAGGATTCCAGAAGCCCACTGAAACCTGCAGTTACTCCCGTCAGAATCTTGAGTCATCAAGGTAACTTCCAGGCCCTTCTCTGCTTAGGAAGCTCAGGGAATATCAAACCCAGGAAAACAGATTGGAATTTGATTCCTGTTAAGGCACAGGCAAAAGTGCCATTGCCACCACCCAGCCTCTTGCACTGGAACCCAGGACAACATCGCACATGATCCCCCAGTGGCTCACAATAGGAGCTGCTTGGACACAGTGTCCTCCCCATGGTGGCTTCTAATTCAGGCTACACTTCCCAAGGATGAAGCATTACTGGAAATTTGTTTTTTCTTAGGATAAGAAGTGCTATTGATACTTCTTGTATTAGACAACTTGGTGTTCATTGCTATGCTGGTTGCCCCTAAGTAGAGCCCACTGGTAAGTGTTTTCTTTTGTATCAGAGCATTTCCTCTGGCATTTGGACATTATTGCTCCATGGCCTTGGTAAAGGTCCCCTTCTCCCTAACAGAGAGGAATATGCAGGAGGCCTCCAGGTCAAAAGGGTCCTCACAGAATCAAGAGTTCACTGGGTTGTCAACCTTAGGAATCACTATTGATGTTGGATTTCAAGTGTGTGGCCTCCTTGTAAATAAATTAACTCATAAGCAAGCCAATGAATCAGAATGCTGCTCTTCTTTCCCGTGATTTTCCAAGCCTGACCATACACTAGATTTTATAAAATAACAATGGAAATACATGTTAATTTTAATTTGCTTTTTTTTTTCTACTTTGTTTCCACAGCTGATGATGATTCACCCTGTAAACTACCCAGTGGTGAAGCAGGAATTATTTGGGACAGCATATGTTTTGCCTTCCTCCTGCTGCAAAGGAGAGTTTTTATGAGTTATTATTTCCTACATGTTGTGGCAGATATAAAAGCTTCACAGATCCTGGCATCAAGGTGGGCCGGGCCGCGGCATCCGTGGTTTCTCCCATTAACCTTGCCTGAAAGTCACACTGCACTGTGCTTTCTGTCCAATCTTGCTTGTAGAGCCCACAAGAAATTAAGAAATTCTTTCCAGCAGAACCAATTCAGGAAGAATTTAGCACAAGGCCCTTAACATAGGATTGTCACAGGAAAGTCTACAGAGCCAAGTCGTGCTTTGCAGGGAGCGGGTGCTACGGACGGTTGAGGCGTGCTGGTCGGTGCGACCCTCTCAGTGCAAACCCGCTCAATAGAAGTAGCTCGATCAGGCCTCAGTCAAAAGAGTGACGTAGACCAGGCTGGTCTAGAGTTTAGTCCATCTTCACCCTCCTGCCTCTGTTTTAAGAGGAAACTCCTGAAAATGGAGAGAAAACACTATTCTCTACTATTTTGCAGATCCTCAATGGAGAAGTGGTGTGCTCCTCCAGCCCTTCTGACCCCTCCAACGTGTCCTCCTTACTCTCCCTTTCCCTTTAGTCTCTTTCCCCCACTCATCTGATTTTCTTCTCTGGGCAATCAGCACAATTTGCATTACTGCCTTTTCCTCCCTTAGACTTGATCCTTCTTCCTGGTTTTTCCCCTAATCTTGTAGGTTTAGGGAAAAAGACCGGGAAGAGGTAAGAAAGGGAATGCCCTTCATGCGGGACAGGTATTCATGGCCATCTGTGTAGCCCCAGATGTACTGCCATCTGTGCTGCCGTGCTTGTTTTAGAGACTCAGACTTTGCCTCGGTCCAGCAGATGCATGGGGCTAATAATCCAATAAACAGATTGGTTTCATATGAAATTACCAATATCTATCATTTGACTTGAGGTTTCAACTCATATATCATTGCTTATGCCATGAGTTTCCCTGGAGCCTATTTTCTTTCCCTGCCAGGATAAACAAAATGTTTATTTCAAAAGTATGTTTAGATGAGGACAATTGCCAGCCCTTGTTGGCTGACTTGGAGCCAAATAGAAAGAGGCCATAGTAGGGGGTCTGCAATTAATTCCAGGAGTCTCGTGGCACCCTTGCTCTCATTATGTAGATGGACAATGGCTTCATTTTGTGTACAGTATTGGCCCTGGAATTCACCGATATAATCGTTTTCTAATACCCGGGATGTCATTTTCACAGCAGAGTACAATGTGTCATCCCAATAGTAACCTTATTTACTTGCACATAAAAGCTGGTGTTTCTGTAGGTAAATGTATTTGTTTTTGCCTTTCCCAAAACATTTGGTCCTGAGAAGTCCAGGACATAATAAGAAGCCAGTGTCTTTCTCCTAGAGTTATCACAATTATTTAGAAAGCATGTCCTTCATGTTATACTAAGAGTGATGGCTTTGGTTCAGAGGACAGCTCACACTTATCAGAGAAAAGCCATGACTTAGTAAACATTGAACTATAACAGCATTTGCAAAGAATACACACTCATTGATTAATTCCTTTGTTCACTGCCTACTCTGTTATTTAATACAAAGAGGTGGATGCTTGCCCCAGAGCTTACAGACTAGCAGGAAGAGAACACATACACAATCACAATACAGCATAACTAGTATTATCTCAGTCTGTTTGGGCTGCCATAATAAACATACCATAAACTAGGTGTTTTTTAACAACATAAATTTATTTCTAGGCTGGGAAATCCAACATCAAGGTGCTGGCAGATTCTGTGTCTGCCAAGGGCCCATTTCCTCATAGATGGCCAGCTTCTCACTGTCTCCTGTCATGGGGAAGGAGCAAGAGCTCTCCCTTGGGCCTCTTTTATAAGGGCAGTAATCCAACCTGAGCTGTGTGCATTGTAGCCATTAAGTAATTTTTCTCTGCCCTCATGATCCAAAGTCCCCACCTCCTAATACCACCACCTTGGGAGTTAGGATTTCAGCATATGAATTTTGGGAGGACTCAAACATTCAGACTTGAGCAAGTGTGATGGAGGGAGATACCCAGGGAGCTGGGATCATATCAAGGGAGTGTAGCTGACTGCAGGGGCGTGGACCAGGGTGGCCTTCCATTCCCAGCTTCAATCTGAAGGGTGGCGGGGGTGTCAGAGGAGGAAGTGAGGGGAAGCGGCCTGAGGAAGCAATGGAGTGAAGCTCTCATTGAGCAGCCATGAGAAGCTCTGAGTAGCTGAAACACTGAAGTTTGAAGGGGGAATAGTGAGTGGTGAAGAATAAGCTGGCATGGCCAGGGAGCCAGACTGTCGGGGACTGTAACCATGTGTATGGCGTTGGTAATCTCCCACAGACAGAGGACGGCTGAGGAAGTGACACGACAGTGTTTGCATTTCAGAAAGCTCACTCTGCTCCTGGTGTGGAGAAAAGACGGAGTGGAAACAGCTCTGTAGGCAGAGGGACAGTTAAGCGGCAGCTGCTATTATGATCCAGGATAGAGACAGGATGAAAAATTACATACTGCTTTGGGTAAATACTCAGTAGTTAAGAAAAAAAAAGAAGAAGAAAAATTACTTAATGGGTACAATGCACACAATTCAGGTGATAGTTACATTAAAAGCCCAGACTTCACCACTATGCACTATATCCATGTAACAAAACTGCACTATAAAAGCTATAGAAATCTATAAAAATAAAAAACAAATAAAAGGAAAAATAAGTAAATAAAAATAGCTGGGACCAAGACGGGACAAGTTGGGAAGATATATTTGAGGTAAAATTGGCACAACTGGAAAGTGAGGTGGCAGGAGGGGAGGTGGTGAAGAGCAGGGCAGAGCCGCCGTGCCAGGATTCTGGCTCACACGAGTCACGGCGCTGATCCCAAATGTAGAATACCTGAAAAGCTGCACCAGGGAGAAGACTGACCATGGCGTGGAGCGTGGGTCTCTTGGGCACATGAAACTCAACTAGCTGGGAAGTCCAGCGGGCAGCTGAGTGGTCACTGACAGGTCTGGAGATGTGAGCAGGCCGAGTGCCCTCATCACACACAGGTACTGGAGCAGGGAGTTGGGGCTGTCTAGAGAGAGTGTGAAGAATAAGCAGACCCTTGAACATTCATATTTGAGAGGTTGTAAAGAAGAACAAGAAGCCTGAGCCACAGAGGAAAAAGGGAAACTAGGAGAGTACGTTGCCTTAGGGGCCTGAGGAAGATCGTTTCCAAGTGGAGGTGACCTGTGATCAGATGGGTCATATAAGGATAAACTTGACAATGGAACATTGAAATCAGGGACCTTAACTGGCCAAAGCCAAACAGCAAGGAGCAGAGGTTGAAGTTGTAAAGGCTTGGAGACAGTGGCTGCAAGGCCTTTGATAGTGAGGGGCAGTGATCTAAGACTATGTAGGAAAATGTGGGGTGCACATGGGTTCTTTTTCATCTCTCAAGGTGAGCAAGACTTGAGCATGTTTCCATGCTTAGGATCAGAATCCAGCAGTGGTGGCAGGTTGCAAATGCAGGGAGAGAGGAACAGTCGGGAGACGGCATCTCTCAGGCTGTGGGGGGCAGGGAAGGGACCCAGAGCACAGGGCAGGCTGATGGTGGGAGGGTGGCACCTGTCCCACTGTCACCGCAGGGGAGGACATCTCTGGGAGGGCCAGGCACAGGAAGCTGAACGGCTTATCACCTTCTGATTTACATTCTCTTTGGGAAGTAGAAAGCTAGGTCATTTACTAGGAGCAAAAAGCTACTCGACAGAATTTGAGATTTGAGAAAAGTGTAACCAGAGTTTGTAACAGCCACTGCAGAAGAACAGAAAAATTTCTGATGAGTGTGGTGCTCCATGACTAACAGTGGCAGGCACACCATGGGGTTCCTGTGGATTTGGGATTTGCAAAGCACATGATGATGAGACAGACTTGAAGATGTTGAGAAGGTTAAGAGTATTTATTGGGATGCTTAAGTCGGCCTGAGAAGTGAGAAAGAGCAGAAGAGAGTAGAAGGACAGGAGAAAAGAATCAAAGAGGCAAGAGACTGCAAGTCCTGCTGCGGGGGCAGGACTCACCTTCGTATTAATACATTCCCAGAGGGAAGCCCCAGTTTCACTCCCTTGTCTGCTCATTGAGTGGAAAACTCCTCTGGAACTCAACTCCTTGCAGATTCCTCCCTTATGGTACAAATATAATAAGGTCAGGTGAATAACACTTTACTGAAGTCTAACGTTGGGTGGAGCAGGTTTGAAGAGGCTCAGGGCCTTAATATCTTAGATAACACAGACTGCTTTCTCTTTGCTGACCAACCAGGGCTGTGAGCAGCCCCTCCCTCCTGGGTGGAAGGCTGTACCCTGTTCATCTACTGGGAAAAGGCTTCTAGAACGGGCCTTGCTGACTCCCACTCCCAGCCAGGAAACTTTAACTGGCTGCCAGAAAGGGATGTTGTGTTTTCTCACCCTTGCTAATGGTTTTCAGGAGAAGGTGAACAACAATGATAAGAATACTAATTTGTTCTCTGTTTCCAATTTTCCTTTAGAGGGGCCGAACTTTTCCAGGCCACAATTGTGAAAGCTGTAAAGGCAAGAATTGAGGAAGAGAAAAAGTCCATGGATCAGCTGAAGCGACAGTAAGGATGCTTTGTTTCCACTCATTCTCCTTACCTTATATTTTCTGATTGCACGACCTTACTCAGCTGACTCCGCTCCTGGGGAGCCCCAAACCCCTGAAAAAAATATTTGCATCAACAATTCCACTTCCAAGGTATTAACTCTAGTGTCAGGGCAATTGCTTATGCTTGTGACACTGAAAATGAAAGCAGTTTAAGGAAAAACAGCTCCATCGTGGCTGAAAGCCAGGCTCTCATGGAAAGGGTGCCAGTCAAGTCCTGCTTCAGTTACTTACTTTAGAACCTTGAGCAAGTCATGTAAGTTCTCTGAATTTCAGATTTCTGTTTTTAAATTAGGGCTCACCTAATTCACCCAAGGTAGAATTCACTCAATCCTACTTTAGTGGATTTTTTATGAAAGTTAAACCAGTTAATGAATGAGGCAGGGTCTTGCCCAGTGCCAAGAACATTAAGTAAGTGTTCATTACCTCTGTTTGTTAAGGGAATAAATGAGGAACCAGCTCTGGAAGCATCTTTTAAGGTAGTGTAATCCAGTCTCTTCAGGAAGAAGCTGACAACAACTGCTGACATTAGATAACCTGCAGTCCACACAACTTAGAGGCAGCACCAGAAACATAAGCCATACTTCCCTGTGCCCAGCTCAAAGATTTCCCACCATACCATCCCGGATAGGTGAAGGGATGGACTGACTCCACTTAGGAGATTTGATAATTCCATTGAAAAGAACTTTCTTTGAGGGAAATTTCCAGCAGTGAATGGAAGGAACCTCTGACGACTTATAGCACTTCATAATTTGGGGATAAGGTTTAAAAGGTGATAGCCACAGAATTCAAAACCTGGAAACTTTCCCCAAGAAAATGGAGATGCTAGCAGCCCACCAGAAAAGTTACATGAGTTTCCTAGGGCAGCTTCATTCCATTCTGACCTCATTTTCCAGCTTTTTTCCCCAAGCAGAAATATTTCCTTGTATAAATTCACAAAGACATAAGTTATATATAAAAATATATGCCATAAATGCAATATGGTACAACTGTTGTTGTTTCTAGATATCTAAATCAGGTCTAGAGGAATAACAAACTTGGGCCCACACTTTAGAATGTGTTCCTAATTTCCCATAAATGAGGCCTATTACTGTAATTCACTTTACTGAATTTTTTGTTTTCTCAAGAATGCAAAACTCGGGAGAACAAAGGACTTGTATTCATAATATGCTATGTTCAAAATTGGCTATGATACAAGATGTGAGGGGACATGATGTATTGCATACTTAGCCTTAGCATAATTATTACTGATTATATTATTAAGAATAGTACCTATGTAGTGCAAAATAATGTGGATATGTACGCACACACACACACACACACACCAGTATGTATGTAAAAGCAAGGAGACTTGTTGCTGATAAGCAACCATTTTATGATTCCCGAGTATCCCAAAGTAAATTGACCACTTTGTCCATAATTAGCTGTATAAATAGCAGTTTAAGTCCAAAGTACTGACTGCACGATGATCGTGAATGTGTTCTTAGCACGACTAACGCTATCTTACATTCCAGGATGGATCGCATCAAGGCCAGGCAGCAGAAATACAAAAAGGGTAAGGAGAGGATGCTGAGCTTGACCCAGGAGCCAGGAGAAGGCCAGGACACCCGAAAACTCTCTGAAGAGGATGATGAAAGTACGTCAAGACATTTTCCTTTCCTTTAAGTACCTTTACGTTGAATAATAGCATGATGCTGGGTAGGGATGTAAAAGAATGTTACTTTTCATTCTGCCAGTATTATCAATGTATTTTTCTAACTCAGCAAGTTTTAGTCTCCCATTTTGAATGGGATAAGTTCATTTGTTTCCTAAGTGTATATTTGATGAAGCAATGACTTTATGAGTATCTACTCTTGAGCAAAATACTTTTAACAAACACATAGTTTAGCTTTTGTTTCACAAACACCTATTTCTGAAGTAAATTGGCATGATTTTGCTTAATTAATTCCTTTAGAAAATATATTTTAGATATGTATTCTACTGTTGTCTTTCATTTCTATAAACTTTATGTAAAAATGAAATATGTATGCATATTTTATGTGGCACCTGAATATTAGTAGTTAAAATATCATTCAGTTATTGCCTGCTCAAATGAAACATAATATGAAATATATGTTTATGATATCCAATTATAGATTTATTATATCCAATTGAAGTTTAAAAGATCTTTTTTTTTTTTTTTTTTGAAGTAGAATTTTGCATTGTATAAAAGATCTTTTTATAGAGGCTTGCATGCTTCTTATTTGAAGGGAATGGAGAGATAATGCATGATGTTTTTCCAGTACATAGTATAAGTCATTACTATTAATAGTAAATTTATATTTTCCAACCATGCATTAAAATAATTACAAGAAAAAATTCTGGTTATTGCAATTTATGTATTTTTAACAAGTTATTTGTCACTAAACAGTTCTATAAAATTCAATTGATGCTTCATTTCTATTAATTCAATTTTGTGAGATACATTTTTGACAGATAATCCTTTTTTTATATTTCTTTATAAGCCCTCAGTTACTAAGAAGAAAGTGAAAATGTAGCATTCTGTTAAAAGAACAATTACTATTTATGTTATAGAATTGACTGTTACTACATGTATATTTTTCAGTATAGTTCCTTTTCCTGACCTCTGATGTACTTTTGCAATTTATCTAGACTTGACAATTGAGTTGTTAAAGCGTGGTTTTCAAAATTTGTTTTCTCACTTTATAAGAATTAATATTTGGACATATTTTATTTTAGGAGAAGCAGACAAACAGAAAGCCAAGGGCAAAAAAAAGCAGTGGTGGCGGCCTTGGGTTGATCATGCTTCCAGTAGGTTTTCTTGATCCTCTTACAACCTCATCGACTCTAACCCTTATATCCTTGACCAGAATTCAGGCGTTCCCATGACCCATGTGTTCCATGCATGGTTGGATCCTTGTGACTTGATAGCGGGTCAGAGTGTAGATAAATTGCAATGTCAGTGGGTCTCTGAGCCTGATGACCGGTTCTTCAGAGACATTGGCTGATTACTGTGCTGGCTGAAGAAAGCCAAACATGTGACCTTACAAACTCCTGAGCATAATTTATGGGCTCAGAAAGGGAAAAAGAATTGACTATTATATTATCCAATTCTAAAGTCTAGAGCTCTGCTGATATTTATTTGCTTTATGACTAAAAACCCATATTAAAAATGAGTTGGGACTCCCCACTGGACACAGATTTAAGGGTGATTGTTATGATCACAGTGTTAGTGACCCTCTTTGGAAGGCTCTGGGCATGGATGCCAGTGAGACTCCCTTCCCTTCATCCCACAGCTTTGATTTTATTTGCATTTAAGGATTTTTGGCAATGTATTAAATATAAAGATGAGAGATAACTTAAAATGCATTTACTTTCTCTTTGCTTCCTCCCCCATTTCAAAAAGCCCCTAAAACTCCACTCCAGATCCCAATGCCCTGCAAGTGACACAGCCTCAGAGCCACCTGCTGCTCAGAGATGACCAATTAACAGCAAAAGTCAGACATTTTTGAAAAGCAGATATTGATAGCCACATAGAATATAGTGTATTTCCTTCCTGATCATACAAATGAATGAGGAATTATGGAACTCAGTGGCTGTATTTGTTCTGCTTAGCAAAGGAAATGTCATGATGGGCCAATGGCATTATAATAGAAGGACCTGTTTCAATCTAGTCCTTCTTAAATTTGTTAGAACATTGAATAATTATTATTTTGCAAATTACCCTGTAATGTCTTTAGTTTTTTTAATCTTATACTGTGTTTCCATACCTATAGCGAACTCAATCAGACAAGGAACATCCATCTGTAAGATACATAATGTCATGCAGTGGTAGGAGGGACTCTACTAAGATGATATTTAAAATCACATAAATAGAAAATCAAATAAATCAGAACTTTTTCCCATACCCAATTCTTAGTTTTACATATATATGGTATTGGTCCCTCTCACCCAAAAAAATAATTTCCTAATATCAGCAAGCTAGTTTAATGAAGCAACATTTGAAATTTGCTCAGTATATCTGGATGTAATCAAATTTAATCCCAAGTATTGAATTTCAGGATTATGGCAAAAAAATAAAAAAAAAATAAAAACACGAGTTATAAAGAATGTTATTTAACATACTGCCCAGTTCAAAAGACAAAGATTCTGGTTGAAATCCAATGTGACTCTTCTATTTACTGCCCCGGGCATGTTAGTTGTGCTAACAATCTGATAATGTAGTGCACTAGATGCCTATTTCTATCAAGTCACAAGAAAACTGTGCCTATCTTTCTGTTTCTAAAGGGCCTTTGCTAGTTTAGAGAGACCTAGCCATTTCAAAATGGTGTCATATTGAATGTTTTGTCACTTCACCTGGGGTAAATTCCCATTGAAATCAATGTGGTTGTCTTTCCTTTTCTCATCTAAACATTGCATTTTTGAAGGAATTGGATATGGTCTTTGATAATCATCTTACAAGTTGGTAATAATTTAAAGAACTTTCTATGAAGGTTTTTGACTTTAGATTTTCTGATTCATTTCACCCTCATTATATCAAGTTTTGGAAGATGGGTATTAAACTAAATGTGCCTTGTTACAATACCTTATGATGCAATAATGCAGGAATGTGTGTAATTCATAGTTTGGAATCATATTCTGACTATGGTGTTAAATATTTTCTGCAAAACATATTTCTTTTTACAAGCTTGTGAAGAATGAAAGGGAAAGAATGTATGTTTTATTCTTTAGTCTGCGATGAGTTCCAGAACTTGTCTTTAGATCTGGAAGTGCTTTATTAAAAGCCCTTATTTTGATCTCTTGAGTTCCTGGGCTTTAAAATAGATATTTCTTAGAAATGCTGAGTATAAGGATAAGTGTAGTTGCAATACTCATGTGTAAATCTATTGACAATATAAAAATGTTGCAAAGTTATTGCTATGTTTGGTAAGCAGTGAAGATCTTAGCATAGTCTATGGGTGACAAATCTCCTACTTCCATACCTATGTACACACATAGGGTTGCATTATTGCTGTTCAATGATACCTTCTATGCCAGTGTTGTATGTCTCGATACCAATTCAGTACTGCCTAAATCAATACCAAGTCTCAGTTTATTGATGAATATCTGAAATAAAGAGCCAAGTTCTGAGGTACAAGCGATGGATTTTAAAAGTTTATTTTGTACTCAGTAACTCAACAATCGCATCAACAACATGCACACAGGCTGGAGGCAGGGTCTCCATCTGAGCTAACAAACGTGTAAGAGCTTTTCTCCTTACTATTAGCAGATAGCATTAAAGTAAGTATTCTCTGTTGTTTTCCTAGTTTTGTTTCAATAACATTTTATAAAAAAATAAGAGACTTTTTTGTTGAGTTAATTTCACTTGGTCACATAAAAATTAATGAAGTTTCTAATGATAAAATCAATGTTATAACTGCTTGATATGAAAACAGTTTGGGCTCATCCATATGAATAAAAGTTATAGAAGGTATGATTGAATACAATTTAAGCTATGGTTGATTTTAGTACCTATAATGAGGGTAAAATGCTCAATCTTACAATACTCTGTGTTTTACCCAAGTGGCCATGTGACGTAGAGTCCATGTAACTTTCCCGCAAATCTCTCAGCTTACGTGAAGGCATTACTTTAATGGTCCTCCTCACTGTCAAATGTAATGCTGTAACTTTGGTTTGTTCTTGCTTATTCTTACCTTATGTTATATTGCATTTATTTCCTCAGGCCTGGACCCAGTACTCTGGGCCTGGTTCTTTGTTCAAAATAAAAATAACAAATTATAGTGCTTCTGTTCAAGGATATAAGGCCCAATTCATCCACTCTGTATCTTCATGAATGGAGGCTTCAGATTCGTCTGAAATCACGGGCAAAATTACTTCACTTTTGACCATGTTTTGTGATATTCAAGCAACTAGTTTTAAACAAGCCAAGGTTTTCCATTACCTTACAATGTATAACTCCAAAAGATAACTTAAGACATCAAGATAAATCATCTAAAAGATGCCTCAGCATTTGAAAAACCTAAATATAATTTGAAAATACAAATATGTTTTCCTACAATGATGGTACATTTCATGTAGCATCAGAAATGTATATGCTGGGTCTCTTTTCTCTAATAGACTTATAATAATTATCAAACTGATGAAGATTTAATTTCTTAAGTGTCTCCAAATCTCTGGACATTTTAGTTTTCTCTGCTCCCACTTCTTGACACAGGTATTACGTTCTTGCAAGGAAAGTATCAGACAAGGCAAAGACCATCCATACTGTTTGTACTTGGTGTCTTATGGTCAGTATAGTTCTCCTCAAATTTTGGTAAGCAACAGAGGAGTTCTTTGTTGACCAGAAGCCTAATAGTGCTAAACCATATGGACCATGTCTGCCGTTTTCAGTCTGTCCCAGGGCTACTACATGTAGAAGCAGCGAGAGCGTTGTATTTAGTATTGTTTTGTTTTTAATGTTACCTGCCCATTTCCTCCTTATGCCAATGTGTGTTAGTGTGTGTGTGTGTGTGTGTGTGTGTGTGTGTTTCAAACTCTATCAAATGTCTTGCCATGTATGTTTTGTCCCTCGTGTTACATGTGGAGAAGCCAGGTCTGCACAGTATAAAGTGAAGTGGAAGGATGGTGACACTGACCTGGGTCCTGAATACTCCTGACTGGCTTATCGCAGTGGTCGGGGCCTATTTAGACAATGCTAGATCCCCCACTTCACTTTAGCCTTGTCTAAAGGACCAAAATTTCTGAATTGTGAAATAATAGTTTCAGTTATTTTGGTCATCTTGGTAACAAAACAGGTGTCTGCAGAGTTGATCTGATTCATCTATGTAAAATTTACAATAATAAAGGGAGAAAATACAGGTCAACCCTGTAGTGGCCAATTCCCTTAAACGGCACAGACAAGGTCTCATACTCTGTGGACCCAATCATGCCAACACAGCTTAGCGTCAGCCCAAGATGAGTTCTGTTCATCTGTCTTTTCCTCCCTGCCAACATCTCTTGCTGTGGTCCTTTTATGGACAATTTGTATATCTTTAGGGGGCGTTTCATTAATAAGCCCCCAGTTATCTCATATCTCTTTCAAGCAATAAGTAAATATTTTGTTTTGCTTAGTGGTCAGGAGTGGAGATTATTATTTGTTTGAAACGGATAGTGAAGAGGAGGAAGAGGAAGAATTAAAGAAGGAAGATGAAGAACCCCCACGAAGGTCAGCATTCCAGGTAATTATGGGATTGGAGAATGTCATGTCCTTTGCTAGTTGAAAGAACTCTTCTTACTGATAGACCTTGATTGCAAGCCTAGACTTCTTCTGCCATATTCATATGTCAGAGCCCCTAGAAGCTTGTGATTTACATCTGAGACTGTTTATTTCGAATTAAACTATAATGCTGCTCACTGTCAGCAATGCCAACATTTTCTGATGGGTTAATGGGAAAAAAAAATTATCTCTGTAAGATAATTTGAAGTTTAGTTTGAGCTGAATGTGTGTGACCATGGTCTGGACCACATGGTCTCAAGAGGTCTTGAGAAAATATGCCCAAGGCAGCCAGGTTACAGCTTGGTTTTATACATTGATGGAGACTGGAATTACACATGAAATAATAAACCAATACATGGAAGGTATGTATTGGTTTGGTCCGAAAAGGCAGGACATCTTGAAGGGGAGGAAGGTGGTTTACAGGTATAGGTGGGTTTAAAGATTCTTTGATTTGTAATTGGTTAAAGAAATGAAGCTTTGTCTGAGGCTTGCAATGTTTTAAGTTAAGGATATCTGTTCATCTGAGACAAGCCATGGGACATTTGCTGAAACTCCAGTGATCTGATAAGTAAATTGATGGTCTGTAGATATGGTTTAAGCTTCATCTTCACATAGCCTTATGTGCTGTTAATGAGTTAGTATCTTATTGTTACAAAGAGTAACTCTGAAAGGGAAGGGGCGTGATATGAGGTATGTTTGATCTCCGTTTTCATGCCGGCAACTCAGCTTTAAGTTTTTCTGGGGTTCCCTTGGCCAAGAGGAGGTCCATTCAGTGCGCTAGAGGGCTTAAGATTTTATTTTAGTTCACAGATGCTATAAACAAAAACTAAAGCTTCATTGGGTAAACTTCATTTTTTAGTTGTAAGTAGGAGATAAAAAAGCTTTCTCTCGCATTGCTTTGGATTGCTTGAGTGCACTTCTATTTTGATACATGAAATAGTTGATCATGAAAATAAAATACTTGCTCAATTTTGAAGAAATAATCATTTAAATGTTGCCTCAAATTTTGAAAATCAGTTCATTTGTATTGCTAAAGATTTGAGAATGTGTTGAAGTAATAATTAGGGTATCTGGCACAGTTCTGGCTTTTTTCAGCTTCACTACCTTCCTGTTTCAGAACCTTCCATCTCATTCTCAGCTGTAGCTCACCAGGCTAATACAGTCTATCCAGCAAACGTGTAATCAATACTTATTAAAGATGAGGCACAGGGGATGTTATGCATGGGATAAAAACTTGGTATACGCTTCTTTTACCAGTGAACCACCTAAATGGTGCAGTTATTTTCCATTGTTATCCTAGTAGGTGTGTAGAATGATATCCATCAGGCCACATCATGTGCTGTGATAAGGCCATTGTCGGCCAGGCTTTCTCAAGAGGACAGGTTCCATCCATCCCTGTCTTCCCAATGACACTGAAGAACGAAATTATTCATGGAGATACCTTGGTCTGATTGCTTCCTTACTGGCCCCAGTTGCTCTCGGTGTATGTTTCTTGATGACTGTGTTTGTGTGCATGTATGCAGCTGGCTTGTCAAATACTAATGACTTAACTTGTTTATTTTTATTCTAATGAGTTTTATTCTAACTACTCCTCATGCAGCAAAGGAGAGAACATGACCGTCTTCACCATGTTGGGTGGATTACATGCAACGATTCACTATTTTCTTTATTCCTAACTTACAAGCAGAGCACATTTTACTCTAGCTCCAGTGACTGGCACATTTTAACATAGTTAATGTAATTGTAGAGACAAACTCATACTGACGTCATATATAAAATTACTAGTTTTTGGTTTTTTTCTACTAATTATTTTTGCTTTGTCCTTCTTTGTAGAGAGCTATTGGGAAATTTGCATCAGCCATTTTAGCCTTGCCAAAGTCTGTCATTAAACTTCCCAAAACTATTCTTCAGTATTTAATCAGAGCTGCAAAGGTATTTGATGTTTTACTGACGTGTAGTGTGTGACTCTCTGCTCTGTAGAACTTTAGACAAACATATCCCCATGCCCTTTCTCTGCATTTTCTCGGTTCTATAGATTGTACCATGAAGGGATCATAAGAATGTAAGATATTATGACAAGTTTTCCAAAAAGAGTTCCTACAAGGCAAAATTCTTATTATTTGATTCTTTTTTTTAAGCTGACAGGAAAGACTATCCAAAAATAGAAAGAGAAAATGCAGATATGTATATACTTTCTGTCCTCATAGTTTTGCCTAAGTCACATCTCATTTCAAAAGGGTCACATCTGGTTGCATGCATCAGTTATAATGAGTAAAAGTATGATCATTCCTCTCAGAAAGCTGGTCAAATTCTGGATAAGCAAAGACAAGACTCCTTTTGCTCCATCTCCTTTTTGGATCCCTGTTAGTCTCTGCCTTCCAGTTTCTGAATTCAGCACAGCTACCTCCTCTGCAGGCTGTGCTGCCAAGTACAGTCTAGTCTGGTAGCCTCTCACGGGATCCATAATGGTGCTTTTGAGTAAATTGTTAAAAAATTATTTGTTGATTAAGCTAATGCCCAATCGCAGTTATTCAGCTACCTATGCTACAGTCACTTAATTATGGAAACCCATAAATAACGAATTACTATTCTTGTATTTTATAGAAAGCTCTTTCTCCTGAAAACTCAGCCAGGGGCCGGCCCTTAAAACTTTTTGGTCTTTATGTCTTTGAAGTGTTGAGCAAATAGTTTGGATGGTGACAGAGACCAGTGCTTCTTGAATTTCACCTGGGGGTGTTGTTTAAATGCAGATTCTGATTCAGCAGCTTCTGTGGCACCAGAAATTCCACAATTCTCCCAAGGTCCCGGGGGAAGCACAGCTGCTAATCTACCTTGAGTAGCAAAGTCCAGACCTCCAGGTTCCTTTCATTATTAAAATGCCAGGATCCTGGGTTTTGTTTCATATTTACCATTGCTGTCTCTCTAAGTTCTTTTATTTTTTCTCTTATGTGAATACCATATGACCCTCTCAATTCACATTTAAGAATTTATTTAAATGAAAGATTACAATGTAACTATTCCCCATCTTACTGTTTAAAGAAAATCATTTTGTTACAGACAGTAAAAAGAAGGTACTGGATCACCTGAATTAAAGGACAGATTATGAAACTTTGCCAATTTCAATTAAAGATCTCCTCTTCATTTTTTTTCCCTGTTGCAAAGATTAAATGCATTTTTGCATAGTAATTTTTTAGTAAACTGAATCCCATTTTCCTCTAATATATATGATAAAATTGAAGATAAAGTCAGGAACACGTGCTAGCAGCAGTAGCTCATTTGGAGAACCCAAATGTCATTTGTGCACTTTGCTATGTGTTTTTCTACTTGTGGTCAGTGGTGCCGGTGTCTGATTCCCCAGAGACACCCATCAAGGGGATGAAAGTTACAGCGACAAAGTAAGAATTGAGAAGTTCAGTAAGAATCTTCCATTTTTTGACTCAGCAGGGATTGGGACAATTCCTCCTTTTCCTTTATTATCAACATTTTTAAAAAATAGTCAGATCCAGCAAAACTGACCTCTATCAAACAAATGTTCCCAGAACTATAAAATGTTTGTATTTCAAAACATCAGTGTTAAGATAATTTACCTACAAAATAAGGAATTACCGGATGGTTCCCTCCTCACCCTGGTGTCCCCTCATATGCATTATCTAAATTCTCTTCTCAGGGGGGCAGTGCTGATAGCCCTCCTCACATGGGCTGCTGTAGAACCAGGAGAGCCCCTGTGACATGTCAGAATGTTAAGGGTGCCCACCCTTTCCACAAGACGTCTTCAATTCCACCCTTAACTCCCCCTTTCCTCTCTCCTTATTCCTCCCAGTTTTCTTTTTTCTTCAGAGCAAAAGAATTCCTCAAATTTGTGTGCCTGTTACATTCACAAATTGTGAATTAATTTTTATTTTTCTATTTTTGGGATTCTTCCATATCTAAAAGCAATATTGTAATGACACTTTTAAAAAAAGAAATATATCACCATCTGTTGCTCTTAAACCTGAAAATTTCTTACATTTCTTAGTTCAGATTCTTTTAAACCAGTATTGTGCTGAAACAAGTTGTTGTATTAATATACTAAACCTCAGAGATATTGTTGACAAAATTCCCAGTTAACATGCTCAATAAACATCTACCATAAATTCCTATATTCAGTCCTTCTCCTTCAAATTCCAGTTCATCTTCTCATTGTTTAAAATCAGTTTTTGGCATAAAATAGAATAATTTTTTTTTACCTCCTGGATTTGTTATTCAGAAATATACAGATGTTGCATTTGTGTTAATTGCCCATAAAATTCAAATTTCTACCAGTGAAAAAGAACAAAACGTTTTTTCTTAGAAACCTGTGACCCTTACATTTCCACATAAGGAAAAATCGAACCCTCTTCATTTTTACCGACATCACAGTGCCATTGGTTTGCTTATGCTATGTTTTTCAAAGGTTTCAGAAATCTGAAAATAATACAGAATAAAATGAAAATATCTGGGTTTACAAGAGCCCCCAGAAAGCATTTATTTCACTTAATCATCATAATGGAAAATCCAGCTTCCCTGAGACCCAGGTGTGTCCGTGGTGCATGAGGAGCATGCCTGCTTGGCTTCCTGACTCTGGATGGCTGACTTTGTATATCGAGGTTGTCTTTTTGGGTTTTTTGCATGATTTGGGTGACTTTGGGTAGGTGGGCTATTCAAAATTACTCTCTCCTGTTTATCAGTTGTAAAATATTAATGCAACTATTTTCAGCTCTTGAATGAAAATGACAAAAAGCACCATAGTCTTCCTTCCATACTATTCTGGAATAATGCCTTAACCTTAATATCATGTTATTTTTTCTCTCAAAATACTAATCAGTCTACAAATTCCTTCCTCAAGTTGCTGGTAATAGCTGTTACTCACAAGGGAGAGTATTGAATACACAAAACTATTTTCTCAAAGTAAATAAGACTATTAAAGATGTTGTTTTGCATTTGATTCAAAGTTTATTTGTGGTGGAAGAAACTAATAATTAGTGAGGCTTCTAGCTCATTCCTCTTGTGTGTAGTGCAAAAGAATCAGTAACTAAATATCAAAAATGGCGGGAGTATTTCAGGATTTGGGAGAAGCATGGTTTGTATGGTAAACCCAAAGTTTATCTGATGATATCTGTGATACCAAGTGAAATATATTCCTACAACATCTGTTTTCATATTTTATTTCATGGTAATGAAAATAGCACAGGGTTGGCTTGTGTTGGGAGAAAGATTTATTTTCAAAAGTTTGGTGTAGGTCTCTGTTCTTTTAATTTCAAATCATTAAAAGACCAGAAAATATATTGAACTTTTTCCCTTTAGTTTGTTTATCAAGCCTGGATTACTGATCCTAAAACAGCACTCCGACAGAGACGCAAAGAGAAAAAAAGGTCTGCAAGAGAAGAGCAGAAACGAAAGCAAAAAGGATCCGGGGAAGGTGAGTTTTGCAGTGGGAGGCAGGACAGAAGCTTCAGAGGATAAAATTTTAAATTCTAAAGAGCGCAAGGAGTTTTATTTGTCCTTAACTGCTCTGTCTGATAAGTGGAACAAATTAAAGCATGAGTTTAAGTTAAGATATATATTTTAAAGTGGGAAAAGGAGAAAGATGCAAACTTAACCCAAAGAAAATAGAAGGAAAAGCCTGATTTTTTGAGGCAGATACTAAGTAATAAAAAAGAAATATAAGACAAGACCTGATCATTAAATTGAAAGCTGTTCTTGGAAAAAACTTGTAAGAAAGATGAAACCAGCAATTTGATCAAGGAAAAAAGGGTAAGCATGCTGAAACAATACTTACAACAAACCAAAAATGGGACTACCGACACTGTATTCAACATGATACCAATATATTTGAAAACAGCTGACATAAATGCACTTCTAAGGGGAAAAAATATTCTAAAATCCAACAACAACAATAACACCAACAACAAAGTTGAAGTGCAAGTGGTACACATAGGAATAATGTTTTTTTGGTTTTTTTGAGACAGAGTCTCTCTCTGTCGCCTGGGCTAGAGTGCTGTGGCGTCAGCCTAGCTCACAGCAACCTCAAACTCCTGGGCTCAAGCGATCCTCCTGCCTCAGCCTCCCGAGTAACTGGGACTACAGGCATGCACCACCATACCCGGCTAATTTCTTTTCTGTATATTTTTAGTTGGCCAATTAATTTGTTTCTATTTTTACTAGAGATGGGGTCTCACTCACTTTTGCTCAGGCTGGTCTCGAACTCTTGACCTCGAGCGATCTGCCCACCTCAGCCTCCAAGAGTGCTAGGATTACAGGTGTGAGCCAGCGTGCCCAGCTAGGAATAATGTTTTTATATATATATTATCTATATCTATACATCAGCCTAAAGATTAGTATTCTGGATATGTTCAGAACTCCTAAAAATCAATAAAAGAAAAATTCAACCCAGTAAATGAAAGGATATGAAAAACAATTCACAGACAGGCAAACAAAAGTGGCTTAAAGGTGCTCAACTGCACTAGTAATACAAGAAATACAAACTAAATATTTTTATAATCTGTGTTTTTTAGCTATTGGACTGGCAGTAACCTAAGCATTTGATAATATTACTGTTTGGGAGCTGGCATAAGATAAATACTTGCACATCCCATGAGTGGTCTTATAAAGTACTGTAGTAGATCCATTTCGAAGAGCTATGTGTAATATCTGTTAAAACTTTAAATGTACATATCATACTACAGATCAATCCCACTTCTAGGAGTGTGGCTTAACCTGAAACAATACTTTCACATGTGCACAAACACACATGTCTAAGAATATTCATCAGACAGTATTTGTTAATAACAAAAATTTGGAAGCATCCTAACTGTCTGTATTTTAAAAAGTCAAATAGATTATGTTACCATTATATCATAAAATATTATTCAGTAATTTAAAAACAAGATGGGTAGCTTTGAACTGCCATGGAGAACAATTTGTGACACATTGTTAAGTGAAAAACAACACATTGCAAAATGGCGTGTACATTATGAAACCACTCATAAGACAAAGAACACCAAAGTACCTCAAGACAGTATTTTGCATTTTTAATGGGTTCATATAATAATGTATAAATGCAAAAGAAAGATCAGGAAGAATACTTAGCTTATTAATAACAGTGGATGCTTTATGAAAGAGTGGAGATTAAGTGGTATGATTGAAGAAAACTTTAGTTTTATCTATTATATTTTGGTTCATTACAAAGGAAATATATTCATAAATTCCTTGTGAAGTTAAAAAGGCATTTAAAAAACAAATGGAAAATGTAATTTCTCATGGAACTCTAATTGCAATATCTTTCTTCTTTTCGACCTTTCTTCCCTGATGCCCCCTGGTAACTTTAACTTTGTTTTACTTTATTATTTTGTTAATGGAAAAACCAAACTCTGTAAAATAATTTAAAGAGTTTTATTCTGACCCAAATATGAGTGACCACAGCCTGAGAGACAAAATCTCAGGAGTTACTAAGAAAGTGTGCCTGAGATGACCAGGTTACAGTTTGGTTTCATACATTTTAGGGAGACAGGAATTGCAGGTAAAATCATAAAGCAATACATGGCAGATAAAAAATTAGTTCCGCCAGTAAGGCAGGGCATTTTGAGTCATAGGTGGCTTTAGAGATTCTTTAATTAGTAATTGAGAAAGCTAAGCTTTGTCTAAAAATTTGGAGTCAGTAGGAAGGAATGCTTAAGATAAGGGGGTCTGTTATCTGCCATGAGATACACTATGCCAGCAAAAGAAAACCTATTTAACTAGATTTTATGGCTTGCAATTTATGACTTAACTGTTTCCTGGCATGACTGTAGGTCTCATTTATAATTTTATATCTTACTGCCACGGAGAGTCTTGTTTGGTCAGTCTTATGATCTCTATTTTAACATTAATGTTTTTCAGTTTTGTCTAAACTTCCAAAGGGAGGGGGTGTCACAAGGTATGTCTGACCTCCCCTTCTGTCATGGCCAGAAACTCAGTATTAGGGTTTTTCTGAGGTCCTCTTGGCCAAAAGGTGGTCCATTCAGTTGAGGGGTGGAGGGTTAGGATTTTATTTTTAGTTTAGAACTTTAGAAACATAAAATTAATACACACCTACTGAAAAGAGTCAAGCAGTAACAAGTTCTGCCTCAACCCAGTCCCTTCAAAACCTATCCTCTTAAGGTAACAAACCCTAGCATATGTTGTACTTATGTTCACCTCTTTTTTTATGTGTTTATGTACATGTAGGCCCTCATATATTCACCTTTGTTTTTGTTTTCAAAAATAAGTTCATGCTCTACAAAGTACTCTTATATTTTCATTAATATATCATGAAGATTTCTCTAATTAAGTATTTATAAAACCATATCATTCTTTTTTAATAACTGTAAAATATTCCATAGTACAGAGATACATAATTCATTCAACTGTTCCATCCTTAATGGACATAAAGATTGCTTCCAGATTTGCCATAATGAACAATGCTATAATAAATAGCCTTGCACAAAATTAGTATGTAGTATTCGCGTGTGTATTTAAATGCATAGCAGCAGGCTGGCCCCAGTGCAGTGGTGTTTACAACTAATTGATCACAACCAGTTACAAATTTCTTTGTTCCTTTTCCATGCCTACTGCTTCATTTGACTGTTTTTATTTAATAAATAAATAAATAACATAGCAAAGGTTAGAAAGAATGTGCACTTTCCACAGAAGAATTCTCAAAAGTGGGATTACTGAGTTAAAGGGTGTGCCTCTTTTTATTTTAATAGATATTTTCCCAAAAGCTTTCAGTAAGTTACACTCCTATGTGTAAACTACAGGAGTCTCCATTTTCCTTTAACCTCAAAAACAAAAACAAACAAACAAAAAAACAGGCTACTACTGATCTTTTTATCATTTATCTTTCTGCAGGATGACAAAGGGCTTTTATTTTCATTTGAATGTGGTTGAATTCCTAACTAATAAAGCTGAGCATTTTTCTCTCACATTTTGTTGGTAATTTGTACTTCCAAGGCTAAGATTTAAACACTTTTATCATTTTTCTACATCATTCTATTGGGTTTTGTGTTCTTTCCTTTTTAATTAGGGCTGTTTATATGTTAGGTTTATTATCCTTTTTTCATGTGTTACAAATATTTTTTTTCAATTCAATGCTTATATTTTGATTTCATTTATAGTACATGTTATCTAAGAAATTTTTGATTATTTCTCATGTCAATTGGGTCCAAATTTCTCCCTGCAGTTTCTAGGTTTCCATCTTGCTTAAGAAAGTCTCTCCTCCCAAATATTATGCAAATGTTTTCTTATATTTTCTACTAATTTTTTCACATCTTGAATTTTTTATCATTCTATAAAGTAGAGATCTAATTTATTTACTTTTAGATGAATAGACAATTATGCTGTCCCTGTTTACTAAGTGATTCTTCCTTTTTCTATTTGTTTTAAGATCTTCTTTTGTAAATATTAGGCTCCCATTTGTTCTCAGATATGTCTTCTGACTCTGTATTCTGGTCTGCTCTCCTATTGTCACACTCTGGGCCAGAGCCACATACCATTGAGTCCAGTAACCATAGAGTTAGTTTCAGTATTTAGTGAGGCGAACTCCCCTCACTACTTTGCTTTTTCCCCAGAATTATTTTTGCTGTTCTCAGACATTTGTTCTTCAAAAATGTTTTGACCATTTATAAGAAGTTGTCCTTTAGTCGATGTCATGACAATTATTTCATGTGCAGAGGTACCACTGTTTACCTACAAATCAAAGACAGCAGTAACTTAAAGATATTCTTTTGATAAATATTTATTCAGCATGTTCTTAGTACAAGGCATCATTTGTTCTAGCTTTCTTCCTGATGAAGCACTTAGAGTCTGTCCTTCTGAAGTGACAGGTGCTGTTGTAAATGCTTTATATGTACTGTAATAGCTCATTTGATCCTTACAGCAGCCCAGGGGTGTTTTATTATCCTTGCTGTACAGATGAGAAAATAAGGTCCCAGGGAATGAAGCAACTTGCCTGAGGTCACACAGCCATTCAATGAGTAGTGGGTCTGGAATTCTTATCTTAACCAGCAGGAAAGACAAGTACAGAAGGAAAAAAAATCCTAATGACATAGAAACTGCAAAGTTCCATTAAAAAATGTATAGATATAACAGTGTGGGACCAGAGGTAGAGAGGAGTTCTTGTAGCCAAGCATGCCAGGGAATGCTTTCTGTACAATCTGGTAGAAGAAAGCAAGGCCATGTATAACAAGTAAAGAGCAGGTCAGCTTAACTGGTAAAGACAAGAGTTGGCACAGCAGCAGAAAAGAGGGTAGTAGAAAATAAGTTTGAGAAAATGTGCTGGAGTCCGATCATGAATGGCCTTAGATAGGGTTACCAGATAAAATACAAAGAAGCTGAGTTAAATTAGAATTTTTCAGACAAACAACAAATAACGTTTAGCTTAAGCCTAATTTAAACATATGTCATGGAATACACTTATACTAAAAAAATTTCCTGTTTCCCTTAAATTCAAATTGGGTATCCTGTGCTTTTATTTTTTAACTTTGACAATCTTAGCCTTGATTGTCAAGCTAAAAGGATAAAGACTAATAAGAGGATAAAAACTAAAATGAAATCCTATGATGCTATTTTAATATATGACAAACTGAAATTGGTAACATTGTCCCAAGGTTTGCTGACTCCTATAAAGGGTCTGGCAGTAAATATCTTCAGCTGTGCCTTCCATGAAGTCTCAGATGCCACTCCGCTCTGCCGTTGCAGGGCAAAGCAGCTGTGGACGATACACAGACAAACGGGCGTGGCTCTGTTCCATTAACATTTGAATTTCATATACTCGTCACATGTGTAAAATATTCTCCTTTACTTGTTTTCAACTACTAAAGATATAGAAACCATTCTGAACTCACAGGCCATCTGACACCAGTCAGGAGGCCAGACCTGGCCTGTGGGGTGTGGTTTACGCACCCTTGGCTCTCATGATTGTGGAGTGTAGTCAAGAGAATCTGAAAGCTACGAGTTAGTTCTTACACCTTTTCCCCAGGAACTCTTACAATAGGTAGAATGTCCTAGATTTAATTTTAAAATCCATTTTAATCTAGAAGAGTAATATTAGCATTTAATTTACCTAAAATGAATATAACTCATGTTTATTGCACACATTTGGCAGGGGCCATGGAATGGAATGACCAGGAGGAAGAACGCGTCAAAAAGAAATCTGATGGACCAGGTAACAAAATACAGACAAATATGAGCTGTGGGAACTTTAAAATGATGCCTGCCCAGATAGTATATAATGGAAGGCTGCCTGAAAAATAATGAAATCAAAGTATGGACTATGATTAAATGTCAGGGACCCTTTGAATTTCATCTCTATTGCAAAGTGACTCCTAAATTGCAAAGTGACTCCTAAAAGCAGATCTGGCTTTTATGCTGGATGAAATGTTGGATTAGTATTGGTTTGTAGATTTCTTTATGCAAGTATCTATGAAAGAGAGTTTTAGGGAATGAATTCCATTGGAAGCCCTCAGAATGAATGCACAAAAACTATTGGCAATTAATTTTAAAGAACACAGAAAGGAGTTAAATGGGAAGTATAATTGGGGAAATGAGAATGTCGGGGCTAAGCTCCTCTTTTTAGGAAGGGGAAACCAAGTCACAGTGAGTTTGTGACTTGCTCAGGATTTTATAGCTACTAAGTGACAGAGCCAGATATGGAACATTTGTCTTCTTACCTCCTGGCTCAGTCATGGTGCTACTTTGGCTTCTTCCTACAGTATGTGATTTGGAGAAAGGTTTCTTTATACAAGAAGGAAAAAAGGCAAAACAAAAGCCTCCCTGTGAAATTAACTCAATGCCTCTATAGCTCTGTAAACATGCCTGGCATGAAATGAGACTTACTGAAGGCCGTCTACTGCCCTCTGCAACACCACTGCTCAAACCTGACTTCCATTTCCAGATAACTAGACACACATATATGTGGAGCTGTATATTCTACTACTGCTGCAAAGCTTCAAACAATAACAATAGCCAACACTTCAGATCACACATTTTGTTTGCCAGGCACTTTTCCAAGAGCATTAGGCATATTAACTTGTTTACCCCCCTCAAAAACCCTCTTCCCCATTTATCAAATATGGGAACTGAGACAGAAAGAGATTAACTAACTTTTCCAAGTGTATACATCCATTAAGAGTTGGGATTTGAACCCAAGGAGTATGAATTCAGAGTCTGTGCTCTTAACCACTATGCCCTACTACTCCTATGGTTGCATAAAGTCAAAATTCAAATCCTAATTTTCCATATTAGTTTGTGATCATCCAAGTTAATAAATTGCATGCTGTTTATGTCCCCAGTGCAGCAATTTCAGCTTCATTATCACTCTACCATAGCAAAACTATGAAATAATGATGTTTATCTTCACCACTTCTGAGAAAATAATTGTGAATATGAGAAAAAATAAGTTGTCAAAAATATAAGGAGCTGCTGAAGTGTATTAATGGGTGTAACCCCAAGTCCTTCAGCCTCCAGGGTTCACATAAGTGGGAAGCAAAACACAAAACAGCTAGAGGTTCTCTCCACACTAGTTGGAGAAATGCATACCTGCTCAAGCTTTGTATGACGGGAGCAGGGATAGAGAGGGTTAGGCGATCGTGGCAGCTCTTGCTCGGAGCCGCTCTGCTGTGGAGTTAGCAGCACCTCACTTCGTGCCTCTTCAAGCAGCAGCTGTTCTCTTCTTGTGCTTCTTTGCTCAACCAAGGATACTCTCTTCTCCTTACTTCCCAAAGACACGTCATATTAAGACTGTTAGGAGTGACACAGTTAGGACTGTTAGGAGTGACACAGTTCTACAGAAGTCCGGGGGCTGGCAGGGATGATGACAGCATAGGCAGGAAACACCTTCACACAGAACGCCAGACGGCACTGTTCTGGCCCCTGCTATTCCTCGGGGCCTGGCTGGCCACCGGGCAGCGTGAGGCCCCTCTCACCGGATCATTCTCCCGTCTCCTTTTCTAGAATACCCACTTCCCTCCCCAGGGACCGGCCAATCTCCAGGACTCCTGATACTTTATTAGGTAAAGCCATTCAACTCCTCTTTGTCTCTAATGTTTCCCTGAAAATAAGACCTACCCATAAAATAAGCCCCAGCAGGGTTTCTGAGCATTTGCGCAATAGAAGCCCCACCCCGAAAATCAGCCCTAGTGACAGGCGTGGCTGCGCAGCGCGTCTGCACAACCCGTGCATTTTGTCGCGGAGCGGTAAAGACAATGAGTAGCCCTTCTCATCTGCCCCATCGTGACAGCTGCTGTCCCAGAGGTGACCGGAAAGGTACAGGCAGCCCCACCAACAAGGTCGGCTCCCCTGTCGGTCCCGGCCATCCTGTGCGTGCTGCGAGCTGAGGCTTTGAGGGGAAAATAACACATCCGCTGAAAATCAGCCCTAGGGTGTCTTCTTGAGGAAGAATAAATAGAAGACCCTGTCTTTTTGGGGGGAAAACACGGTGCCAGGCCCATCTGGACTCTGTAGCTAAACTTCCCTCTGATGCTTTTCTTTTTGAAAAGAAATTAGCCGGCATGATAGCGCACCTCTAGCCCCAACTACTCTAGAGGCTGAGGCGGGAGGATCACTTGAGCCCGGGAATTCAAGGCTGCAGTGAGCTACAACCACACCACTGCACTCCAGCCTGAGCAACAATGTGAGACCCTGTCTCTTAAAAAAAAAAAAAGAAAGAAAGAAACCTTCACCTGAAAGAAGTTCTGCCTTCCTCCTAGGCCACTCAGTTGAAAAATATTTTTTTTCCCATTACAAAGCCGGACTCTCATTCCCACTGTGGTATGTAAAGTGGGGAGAGAGAGGATTAGTGGAGAGCAGGAATGAGCCATTCAGAGGCCACATCCGACTACCTTAGATTAGGGATCAGCAAACTACAGCCCGTGGGCCAAGTCTGACCTGCCACCTGTTTTTATATGGCTTGTTAGCTAAGGATGATTTTTTTAATGATTGAAAAAAATCAAAAGAAGAGGAGTATTTCATGACATATGAAAATTATGAAATTCAAATTTCAGTGTCAATACATAAAGTTTTATTGGAAATCCGGACATGACCATTCATAGACAATTCATTCATTGTCTGAGGCTGCTTTCACACCCCAACAGCAAAGTCAAGTAATTACTGCAGAGACAGTGTGGCCTGCAGAGCCAAAAATGCTCACTGCCGGGCCTGTGCAGAAAAGTCTGTCGGCCCCTGCTCTAGATCATAAAGGCTTATGCCACCAAATTGTTTTCTATGTGCTATATTAATGATTTTAATCTATAACAATTCTAAACTATAATCATTAATCAAAAATTTATTAAGATTTCACTATGACATTTGAATCTGGTTTTCTTTTTTTCTTTTTCTTTCTTTTTCTTTTTTTGAGGTGGGGTAAGGGTAGAGAATATGAATTACTTTTCATGTTGGTATTGGTGAATATTTTAAATAAACAGTAAGGCAATTTTTAAGTCATTATCATGTTCACTAAGTATTCACTTTATTGCAGTGTTTGAAATAGTTAATAAAATTAAATTTTTTAAATGATAGGTAAAAAACTTTACATTGATTGAAATTTGGTGTCATGTCTTGAAGTGTTCCTTGTATACTAGCTGAGAAACCATTGGCTTACACAAATGTGTAGAACAGTTACTATGGTATCTTCCCTTTTATTTTGATTATTTTTTTTTTTTTTTTTTTTGAGACAGAGTCTCGCTTTGTTGTCCAGGCTAGAGTGAGTGCCGTGGCGTCAGCCTAGCTCACAGCAACCTCAAACTCCTGGGCTGCAGTGATCCTTCTGCCTCAGCCTCCCGAGTAGCTGGGACTACAGGCATGCGCCACTATGCCCGGCTAATTTTTTTATATATATATCAGTTGGCCAATTAATTTCTTTCTATTTATAGTAGAGACGGGGTCTTGCTCTTGCTCAGGCTGGTTTTGAACTCCTGACCTTGAGCAATCCACCCGCCTCGGCCTCCCAAGAGCTAGGATTACAGGCGTGAGCCACAGCGCCCGGCCATATTTTGATTATTTTTAATTGCATATATCTAAGGTATACAATATGCTGTTTTGATATATATACACATAGTGAAACAACTAATACACTCAAAAAAATTGACCCATCTATCACCTTCCCTAGTTACTTTTGTGTGTGTGTGGTTAGAGCAGTCTGCTGTCCCAGCAAATTTCCAGTATATTATACTGTGTTATTAGCTACAGTCCATATGCTGCATATTAGATTTCTAGACTTATTTATCCCACATAACTGCAAGTTTGTACCTTCGGCCTAAACTTCTTCCCATTTCTTTCCCCTCTGCCCACCCCACACCCCAGCCCTGGTAACCACTATTCTACTCTCTGCTTCTATGAGTTTGACCATTTTAGAGCCCACATATAAGTGAGATCATACAGTATTTGTCTCTGTGCTTGGTTTATTAATTTAACATAATATTCTCTATGTTCATCATGTTGCAATGATAGGATTTCCTTTTATTCAAAGCTAAATAATATTTTAAAAAGTGAGCACACAGCTGTTGAAAGTCCTCAGTCCTTTCTCAGTGATTGGGAGCTCATGATTAAATCCAGGAGGGTGCTGGAGAGAAGTGTGTGCTGCACTGGGTCCATACCATGCACATGATGGTGATCAGAGCTGAGCTCCATGCCGCAACTCTCCCAGGTTCGCTGAGTCACAGCCACAGTGAAGGAAGAGAACCCAAATCCTTCAGGAACGTCAGGGCTTGTGCTGACTGGGTAGGAGTGATCCCCAGAATGCTGTAGTTAGCATAGCTCAGTATAAGAGGTGTGATGAAGACAGTTCACTGGTATAGGGAGATATAGTCTGTGCATTGAGCTCTTAACAAAATAGCTTTAAGGTAATTTATTGAAATGCAAATGTAATGGGAAGCATCAAAGTCTGACTGAATCTACAGAATTGTTTCCAATAACAAGTCTTACTTTAGAAAAAAAAAAAAAAAACAGCAGAAAGTTATTAAAGGATCCAGTTGGCAGGATATGGACTATTTCTATCCCTGTGTCAATAACAGACATATCTCTGAATGCAATCTCTACTTTTAGTCAAACTTATTACAGCTGGCCCCTGAACCACATGGGGAGTTAGGGACATTTACCCCCACTGCAACACACAATTGAAAATCCACGTATAACTTTTGACTCCCCAAAATCTTAACTATTAATAGCCTACTACTGACTGGAATCCTTACTGATAACATAAATGGTCAATCAACATCAACATATATTATGTGGATTATTTGTATTATATACTGCATTCTTATAATAAAGCTGGAGAAAAGAAAATGTTATCAAGAAAATCATGAGGAAGAAAGAACGTATTTACTATTCACTAAGGGCAAGTGGATCATCATAAAGGTTTTTATCCTTGTCATCTTCATGCTCGGTAGGCTGAGAGGGGGAGGAAGAGTAGGGCTGGTCTTGCTGTCTCAGGGTGGCAGAGGCAGAAGAAGTGGAGGAGGTGGAAGGGAGCCAGGAGAGGCAGCACACTCAGGGTAACTTCTATTGAAAAAAAGCCGCATGTAAATGGAAACACACTGCTCAAACTTGTGTTGTTTAAGGGCCAACTGTACATGGACCCTTTCTGATTTATATTGGGTCAAAGATTACAAATTCTCTCCTAGTTTGGTCTGGGTTCTGCCCCACCTGTGTGCACAGCCCTGCAGAGAGCTTCCTCCACGGCTTGCTGAGCCAGGCACCCCACTCCTCAGTAGGCACACAGGCAAATGCCAGGCCTGGCTTTGGTGAAACCCCACTGCACGACATGACAGCAGAATTAATGGTATTTTGTTCCTTTGAAATCTTGTTGCTTTCTTCCTCCTAGATAATATCATCAAGAGGATATTTAATATTTTGAAATTTACCTGGGTCCTTTTTCTGGCAACAGTGGACAGTTTCACCACTTGGCTTAACTCCATTTCAAGGGAGCATATTGATATCTCTACAGTTCTGAGAATTGAAAGATGCATGCTGACCAGAGAAATTAAGAAGGTAACACTGTTGGTATAATTCTTTTTCTTTCTTCCCACATTAATAAAAGACTTTACGAATCACTATCTAAAACTCCAAGTAGGATTGGACAAAATCCTTTCTTTCCAGGCAGTCATTGCATAACCCCTTTTGCTTTCTATATATTTAAATCTATTCCACGCTCAGTATTAAAATAATCGAAAACCATACACACATGCATGCTGATACACACATGGTCCTGGGATAATGGCTACTTTGTGTATTCTGTCCCCTCCCCTCACCAAAGTTGCAGGTATACAGACTTAGCACTGTCCTATAAAGGATTATAGCTTTAGTCTGGAAGTTTGATCTGAAATCTCTCATAAGAAAAATTAGGATGTATGCAGAGCAGCAAAAGATAATCATATATGGTTATGATTGTATTTAAAAATAATACTTCATTTCTGAAAATGTCACCATGATTTTGCAAAATTATCTACATAAGAAGAGATTTCTTATTTAGAATTACGTATTAATATTGGGAACCATTTATTAGACGAGTCAACATCGGTCTCCAACTTGTGTGGTTTTAATCCCTCTTCCAGGTATGTGTGTGCACAGAGAGTTGTCTGTATTGAGAAATGCCAAGTACCTCAATAAGAACTGTGGCAATGTCTCCTTCTCCTTAGGGCAATGTTCCAACTCGGGAGAGCATCCACATGTACTATCAGAACCACATCATGAACCTTTCCAGAGAGTCAGGACTGGACACAATTGACGAACGTCCTGGAGCTGCTTCAGGTGCACAGACAGCCCACAGGATGGATAGTTTAGATTCACATGACAGTATCTCCAGGTATTTCACTTTCTAAACAATGGGTTTGCTTTTGACAAGGGTAAATGAGGTGGATGTCATCAAATATGAGGAACAAATGTACGAGGTGAAAGTTAATCAGAAACTTGCCTGGGTTCCACCCTCTTTGGACTATCTCCTTCTGCACAGCAAAGCCTAAGGAACGCTGTCCTCACCTAGCCTGAGCCAGATAAAAGCAGATATCAATGATAAATTAGAAATACATATATAATTCATAGGCATAATACAGAGATTTCCAAGCTGAAGGCAAGTAAGAATGATCCCTTCTGATCCCAGAATTACTGTTTGTGTCAGGGGTTGCATCTTTAGTGCCTTTCGAAATAGCTGATCCACAAAGTATCTTCTACACTAGGATCTTCTTCCTCCTGTTGCTATCCTTGATCTTTTCCTTTCAGAACTGTTACTTTTTAAGGTTCATAATAAAAATTCCAGAAAGATTCTTTTACCTTCCATGTTCTCTGAGTTTTATGACCCTATGCATTGTTTCACAGCAGGATGGGCAGTGACACAATGCTATAGTGGCCATGCATTGAGCATGCGCCATGGGCCAGCACCAAACGCTGTACATGGGTTACCTTATCTTATCCTTTAAGACCCTATGTTGCATGTTGTTATTACCCTACATTGCAAAGAAAAAATTAGTTACAGAGAGGTTAAGAAATATCCAAAGTTGCACAACTAGGAAGTATATAAAAGCAGATCCAGGATCCAAAATCATGTGATTCAGCTCAGAACCCAAGCTCTCAACCACAGTGGAAGGCTAGTTACCTCTAGTTACCTCTTCCTGCACCACGGGCCAATGTACTGCCTATGCCACAAAAACCTGAGAATTCTTTGCATCATGGTGTTCTAGATAGCTACTGTCAATTTCACAGAGCTAACTTCTGAGTTAAAGCAGAAGTCCCTGTCTTAGGAGGAAACTTACCTTGCCCAGGGTGATTAACTAGACTGAATGGATTATACCTAGAGCCATCATCATGGGTAGAGAATTGTATCAAGGATAATATTCATGTGTTTATATTTTTCATTAAACATGTTGAGAAGCACCTATTCTCTGCTAGGCCCCAGGCTCAATTTTGGGACAGACACATAAAGAGTAGTCCCCTAAGTGGTCTGAGCCAGCGAGGAATCTCTAAGATAAAGCCGTTGCCTCCTAAAATACCTGCCATGGGGAAGATAGTAGAGACTGGCTGTCTCTGACTCCTGGTGGAGAAAGTCCCTGATGGCTTTAGAGTCATACTTCATAGACTGAGCAAGGGACTAACAGCCTGGAGAACTGTTTGTCTTTCACAAATACGGAATGTATTTCCAGATGAAATAGGGGAGGGAACTGAGGCCATTTTATTAATACCAAACCCAAAATAGACAACTGGAAATTGAAATTGTAACCTGAAAGGGAGAGGTAGGGAAAAAAATGTTTTGCCTTGAAGTGCTATTTAACTGTTGCTGAATCCGTGTATTTGAGCTTCGCTAATTGCACCCATTCTTTCAGTACCCAATAATTATTACTGATTCAGATCCATATTTATTGGTATGGAAAGATCTTTTCAATATATATATATAGTAAATATATACACATTTAGTAAAAATCTCAAGTCTTAAAATAATATCTATGCTAAAGCCTCATTTTATTTTTTAAAATATATGTATTCATGCATATATCAATTTAAATGTAGCATTTGTATAGATAAAACTGTGCTTTGATACATCTCTTTCTATCTCTCCAAAATAGGTACTGATTCTTTTAAAGTCCTTTGAAAGAAATAAGGAGATTATCTTTTTCCTTTAATTTGACAATAATCTTTGCTTATTTATAAGTTTATTTATAAGTTCCAAAAACACAGATGTTTCAGATATCATATATTTTTGTGAGAAGAAGAAACATTTAGGACAGAAACTTTTCATGATTTCAAAGTCAAACTTTTATTTCCTAATTGAGATTCTGTTTAATATGTTTTTAATTCCTAGTATAAAATAATTGGTTATTTGAAAAATATGTCATGGTAATAAAACTTTCTTTTTCATTCTCTTTCTACCCAAGCACATGTACATTCTCAGTCATTAATTTCTGAAACCATTAGTAATATCAAAACTTACAAAGAGAAAATTTAATATCATATCTTTCGATTGGTTAGTGTTAACAGGACCTCATTGTATGTCTTCCTGAAAACATCCCATAATCTACATTTTCAAAGAGGAGCTTCTGTCTTTTCCTTTGACAGACTTCATTAAGACAAAAGTCATTATTTATTTTGAATTTTATTTTTATTTTTTGAAAATCATAAGAACTGTCCTATTTAGAACCTGCTAACCTTCATAAATTTGTTCTTGTTGCAAAAGTTCTCTCCATATATACATATAGATCAATGTATTTAAACTGAATTGTTCTCTCTTTAATTCATTTTAATGCTAAAACTTAAAATACATTTTTGCCCTCTTCTACCTAAGCCTCATGCATTCTCGCCTTATCTCATGGTAGCTCTTTCCTCAATAATGTATGGAGATTGCATGGGCAGGTGTGCAAAAGTGTACAGGCGTGTGTCGCAGGGCAGCTGGGGGGCAAGATTTGTCAGAATGTAGTGGGCGTGGGAGATGCTAACTAATGCTGCATCCTAGTTGCAGGGTGAATGAAGGTGAATTGGGAAATCTAAAGGTTCATTAATTCACTTTAGGAACTATTCATGACCAAACAACATTTTTCAAAAACCAAAGGAATGATAAGATGAAAAAAGTGCTGAGATTCTCTACACATACATTTTCCAAATGATGTTTCCTTCTTTCATTTATATATTTTTTTGCACAATATTTATAAATGTATCACTACCACCAGCTTTAGAGAGTGCCACTCTGCAGGTATCAAATATGGACTGAGTCTGATCCAAATTATGTTTTCATTTTTTCTGAATTCCAAAATAAAAGGATTCAGATAGCTCTGGTGAACTTTACTGAAAGTCATGTTCATATCCAATTGGAATTATTTCCTCTCACATAGTGAAAAATACAATTATTTACATATATAGTATATAGTTTGGCCATTGCACCTTTGCATCATTCTTCAAGAAAATATGATGTTGCCCCATCATATGATTCTTAATATGTTTCAAATTCATTTATTTAAACCTCCCTCTCTTGCCTCATTGCATAACACAGAGATTTTTTTTTGTTACCTAAAATTCTAAACTTGGTAAGTGAAAGGGTAATAAATGGAATAGCCTTTTTCCATTAATTTGTGATAACACAAACAGTGATTGGTAACATTTTTCAGTGAACCTCTTTTGAAATTTCATAAAGCTATATATTCTTTCACAGGGGAAAAACATATAAATACAAAATTATTTCATAAAATATCAAGGGTTTTATAGGCCTCCTGAATATCAAACAGCCTGGCTTGAGAATAGAGGCTGCAGAACCAAACTCTGCAGCAATGGAATCAAAGAGAATATTTGAAAGTGAATTGAAAATAAAGTTTTGGGGCCGGGTGCGGTGGCTCACACCTGTAATCCTAGCACTCTGAGAGGCCGAGGCAGGCGGATTGCTCGAGGTCAGGAGTTCGAAACCAGCCTGAGCAACAGCGAGACCCCATCTCTACTATAAATAGAAAGAAATTAATTGGCCAACTAATATATATAGAAAAAATTAGCCGGGCATGGTGGCGCATGCCTGTAGTCCCAGCTACTCGGGAGGCTGAGGCAGGAGGATCACTTGAGTCCAGGAGTTTGAGGTTGCTGTGAGCTAGGCTGATGCCACGGCACTCACGCTAGCCTGGGCAACAAAGCGAGACTCTGTCTCAAAAAAAAAAAAGAAAGTTTTTGTAAAATGAACATATGTGAGTCCTCTATTAATGACTTTTAACTGAATAACAATTGACAATATGTCCAATTAAAGAAATTAAATATTATAAATCACAATTAAGGAAGAAAAAGGAAGAAGAAGAAGATGAAAAACTGTTTAAAATAAAATTAAATAACTGCCCGGAAATTACAAATATAAAACCATACCCATGACCAAAAATTGTGAAGTAGGAGATATTTAAATTCATTGATTAATTTTTAACAAAGACTGTCACAATATGCCCCAAATTATAAAAATGTCAATCAATAAATACATTTACTAGTACAATAGAAAACAAGCATCTTTAAAATTAAGTTTTAATTGATTTTTTTACTTTGTTTTCCAACCTAAAGAAAGGGAAGGCATAATAGGGCCCATTTTGTTGCCAGTAAAGGAGTTTATATAAGTGCCCTTCTTGGCTGAGCCACACACCTAGTTTCTCTACTTTGGAAACTTTTAGGTTTCCACACAATAATTTGTCTACATTAGAGTCTCCAGGAAGCCATGCTGATTGCTGGAAAGGAACCTTCTCCAGAGGAGATTGCACTGTGGAAGCTCGTGCCCAGACACCTGTGTCATTGAAATGGCCACCAGTTGCCACCTCCCAGCAAGGACATGCTCTCCCAGCAGCCAGTCCCCTTTAGGGCTCCTGGTCTGGGATTCGTGTCACAAATTCGACCTTTGGGCATATAGTAGATGCCCAAAAATGCAGATGGGGTCTGGGTGAGAATCTAACACATTAATTTGTATTCCCTTTGACTTATTGGAATAGTCACAATTTCCTCAAATCCAGGTGTAAAACAGCAAACTTATTTTTTAATGGTTACTTTATGAAATCAGATGACATCTACTTTCCCAGAAGATAAATTAGCTTTAGCTTAAATTCCTGCAAGAAACATTAGTTACAGTCTGAAGAGCATTACCAGATATGAAGAGAGTGGTTATCATTTGAAATATGTCACCTAAGAGGTTCCTGTGTTCTGTGGGAGCTCAAGGTATGGGGTCCGCAGGCAGGGGACGACAGCAGTCTCCTTCCCATTCACTTTCAAACTGTCCTGAGTTGGATGGCAAGTTGGTCACCTCACAGAGAGGCCAGTTGTGTGGGATCGTGCATGTTCTGAAGGTGGGAAGAAGTAACAGCAGAACTCTACCCAGGAATTAACAAGATAAATAAGGCTTTTGAGATAGAATCATCATTTCCCAAGGAAAACTGAGCAAGTTACAAGAGCCTGTACAATATCTTTCTGCCTGCAGACTCCCAAAAGGCTACAAGGTTGCATCTCTACAAATATGAAATGAAATACAGAAACTCGAAGTTCCTCCCTCTCAGAAATATAAAATTGGGGCCTCAGAAAGGAGAATTGATTTATCTAATGCCCAATAGCTAGTTAATATCAGCGTGAGGACTGAAGCCCAATCCTAGCTGTGCTTGTACAATGAGTTTCTAGTTTATCTTGTCATCATCTCCTCATTTTTGTCCAGGACTTGGTAACAATAAAGGAGTTAGGGCTGGGCGCGGTGACTCACGCCTATAATCCTAGCACTCTGGGAAGCCTAGATGGATGGATTGCTCGAGGTCAGGAGTTCGAAACCAGCCTGAGCAACAGCAAGACCCCATCTCTACTATAAATAGAAAGAAATTAATTGGCCAACTAATATATATGGAAAAAATTAGCCAGGCATGGTGGCACATGCCTGTGATCCCAGTTACTTGGGAGGCTGAGGCAGTAGGATCGCTTGAGCCCAGGAGTTTGAGGTTGCTGTGAGCTAGGCTGACGCCACGGCACTCACTCTAGCCTGGGCAACAAAGCGAGACTCTGTCATAAAATAAAATAAAATAAAATAAAATAAAATAAAATAAAATAAAATAAAATAAAATAAAATAAAATAAAGGAGTTAGGGCCTTTAATGAAAAACAAAACAAAACAAAAACCAACCTCTATGTCCTTATCAGAGAGTATCTGTTTGCTCTCATGCCCACCTCCCCTGTCTTGACCACATATCTGTGATCTGCACAGAAACACGGCCCCAGTGGAGCAGCCATGAGATTGTGCTCCAGCACCTGGGACCTGAAAAGCTCTGTAACTGATTCCTTGCCTGGATGACTCCAGTTCCCTCCTCCCAGACTCCCAAAGGTAGTTCCATCCTGAATAGCTTCCATGTTGGTCTCAGGACCCCTGATGACAGCATGTGGCTCTGCAGGCCAGGCAGCCAGTAGGCTCCAAGTGAGCTCACATGGTGACCATGCTCAGCCCAACAAGGTCAGCCTGGACACCAGCCAGCCTGTGCCTCCCAGGGCCTGTGCACCCAGGTCAGCCCACACAGTAGCACTCAAGTTGGAAGGTAAATATTCCAGTTGTCTCCTGAAGAGGCTCTTTGGGTCATCTGTCCATCTTTGGGAAGTTAAGCCATTATGCTTGTGCCAACCTCTATTTGCTTCTTCCGATTAGTGTCCTCACCCAGCAGTGGCTGAGTCCTGGCCCTGCCATGCTCCCTCCCCAGTCATTCGCTGTTGGGTACCAGGAGATGAGGACTTTAGCCAATGAATTCTCTCCCTTGTGGCGTCCACCAAGACCCAAAACATGATCCAGAAGAAAAATTAGGCTAAACAAAAATTTAACAGAAAAATGCCCCTGCCGTTGCTAGAGTTCTTTTGTTTTTTTCTTTACAGCATTTTTATTTTATTTTCGATGTTGGTTTATATCCAGTTGCATATCAAACCAGCATCTCCACAACATGCAAGGCATGTAGTTTGGCTTAATTGAGCATCACTGAATATCACTCAAAAAATGAGGTAGAAAATTCAGCTTGCTGTGGTCATTTCTGAGTTTCCCTATCTCATTTTGGAGGCTGTGTTAAAAAAAAAAATTGAAGTCTTTTATATAAATTTTACATGAGCAGTTATTTCTGCTTAAGCAATTTGGTTAATAAATGCTCTCAATGAACACATTGTGAGCTTCAAATAAAGAATATCTTCTTTAATTTAAAAAAAACTCTGTTACAAAATTACAATTATGTAAATTCTGCTTTATGAGAGAAATATTGGGACTTGTCTTAATTCTATTTCCCAGTCCCAGCCAGAGAGTGCCATTTCATAATTTATCACTAGCCAATATGTTTTTAAAAATCTAGTACTTGTGTGTTTCCTTGTCCTGCCAACCAGGCCATTCCCTGTCCTGGAGCCCCACTTGGTGGTCTTTGTTGGTGGTGTTGGTGTTGTGTGTGGTTTGCTGCATGGCAGTGTGTGGTCAATTGATCCGTGTGTATAACCTGATGTACCACTGCTGTTTTAACACTCTGTTTCTGTAACTGTTTGCGCTGCTAGCTGCTACACTGAAGCAACCATGCTGTTCTCAAGGCAGTCTACCCTTGATGATTTAGATGGACCAGAAACTGTTCCTAAAACAAGTGAGCGTGCTCGGCCTAGGCTCCGTAAAATGTTCAGCATGGATATGTCCTCCTCATCAGCTGACAGTGGCAGTTTAGCATCAAGGTGCTTAACTTGTGCATGCTTTGTTCCATAATTTTATCACCATTTCCCCCTTTATGTCATTGCAAATATGAGTTCTTGTGATGTATGTTTTTATTTCATTTTTATTTTAACGATCTGCATGACTAACAAAGCATAACCACCGCCCTTTCTGAGACATAATTGTTCTCAAGACAGTCTATTAAACTAACCACTCTTTAGTTTTTGTCAGTTAGGAGTTTTTAAAAAATATTTGTTATAAACATTGTCCTCTATTTTTAAAGTATTTTATACTTTCCATTTTTTTAAAGACATAATTGTTTCCTCCATAATTTAGAGCTTATGTGGGCAGTCCTGGAGGGGGGAAATCTGTCAGGAAAAGTAGGAAAAAAGTAGTCTCACGATTTCATCCAGAGATACATGCAGTAGAAAAAAATCTAAAATTATGACCATATGTGGTCATTTTTAGTTGATATACATAAATATGTCCACACAGTATATACATCATTGACATAAAGTCAGAATATATTATACCATAGGTTTTTGAAAAGAATACTATTATGCAGAAGAATGTATCATCTTTGTAGCTTATAACTAGTTTTGTTTGGAAAAATTACTTTGCTTTAACTTTTGTCATTAAGTTCTACCCTAAAACAGTAATCATTTAGAAATGCAATCATTTGCACATGACCCAAAACTCTTTTTTTGAATGGCCTTACAGTGGTCAGTAGGTACATAGAAGAAGTATCAACTACTGTTGTGCTTATGAAAATGGTCCAAACCAAAGCAAGTCTTGATAACTCATAGTGGCAAATCAGAGGGTGCTATCTTCTTTTTGCCAGCAGCTGTGATTCTTGACACAGTACTGCGGTACACTGGAGCCTGACATTGACGAGAAGGCCTTGGCCATTTGGCCTCTGGCTGGCTCATGCTTGCTGTGCCAATCCTCCCTTTTGAGTCCTGAAGGTACTCTCAGCCTCTAGGGGGCAGACTCAACCCCAAACAATAGGGAGTATGCTTCTAGTTGGTTACAGTCATACTGGAAGTTAGACCTGGTATGAGGTTGGCTACGCGTGATCTGAAAATTTCTGGGTGGTGGGTCAATTGCATGACATTCCTAGGAAGCTATATCTAATTGAGGTAAGTCTTAGCGAAAATCTGGTTTGGCCTGGCATTCCATGATGTACACCGTTAGGACGAAAGCCCCAGGAATATTTACCCCTGAGCGGGTATCAAGGACTTATGCGAATCTGGTTCTTCAGTCACAAGATGTCATGAAGTGCTCTGCCAGGGCTCATTCATTCATTTGCATGCCTATACTGGTATCTATGAAGAAAAATGGGTACATTCTGTGTATTTGAGAATCTCAAAGATTCTGGAACCCAGATGCTCACATATCCCATTGGGATAATAGTACATGTTTCAGAACCTAACAAATTATACTCCTACATTGACCAGATTCCAAACCCCCAGGTAATTTTGCCTGTCCTCCCTCTGGTGGCTGGATGTGTCTGGGGCGGACAATAACAAAAAGCAGGCCGTAAATGTCACTGGTCCAGCTGTGCTGTTTTCATGTCCAGCCTTTCTGTGTGAACATGATGGAGAAAGTTAGAAGATGAAGGAATAAAAGGAGGAGAGGAAGGGCACACAAGAAAAGAGGGCATACATTAGAAGAGGAACTGGTAGAAGAAAATAAGTGAAGTTGTTGGGAGCTGGAGAGAAGAGGGGGATGCCTTGGGGTGGAACGAGCAGCTGAGAGGGTGAAGGGCCCAGAAGAGCTCATGCTGGTGAGGAGACAGACTGGTTCCTTGCCAGGGGAAGAGGAAGGCTCAGTGGGCAGTGGCTGGGAGCTGGGGCCATGGTAGAGGAGCACAGTCAGATGTGATGTACACCAATGAGAAAAAGGCAAAGGATGGAAAAACAAATGTTAGAGAAGAGTGACTTTTTTTTGTCAAGCAGGAGGTTGTTTAGCCAATATTCTATCAAAAAAAGTCATTCCCTTATGGATCTGGGTGGGCCCATTGCACAGGAAGGAAAGTAGAGTACATCTTGGTCAAACCTACAGATGTGCTCTTTAAAGTAGATAGAGCGGCAGGTATGCCATGCCAAGCATGTGTCGATTTAGAAATAAACGCTGGGACCCATGGCTGTGAATCTTGACACCACTTTCCAAACCTCTGTGCACAGACGGGCTGTGCTCCCTGAGAGCACGGGCTGCTCTTGGTCTAAACTGAGCGCCCGCGAGCACCCTCGACGCTTGCATGGGAGAGGCTGCTGCTGTTTGTCAGTGTCCCGAAGGGACAGAACAAATGGAATGCAGAAGAGAATGGGGCATTCATTTGCTCCTGTGCCTTAATATTTTTACGTGGGAGTCCTGACGGTCTCCTGAGGATCTGGACAGGCTCCCAGGCTGGTGGGTGCTGAGAGCGGGCCCGCGCCCTCCCTTTCTCCCGACAGCGAGCCCACTCAGTGCACCATGCTGTACTCGCGCCAGGGGACCACCGAGACCATCGAGGAAGTCGAGGCTGAGCAGGAGGAGGAGGCGAGGGGCACGGCTCCCGAGCCCACGGGGGCCGATGGCGAGTCCGAGGCCGAGGACCAGGCCGAGGACGAGGCGGGAGCCCTGAGCCTGGAGGAGGCGGGCCTGACCCCCGAGGAGGAGTTGGCGCAGTTCTCCGCTGTGGACAGGGACGTGGAGGTGCCGCCCTCCTACAGCAAGGCCGTCAGCTTCGAGCACCTGTCCTTCGCCTCACAGGACGACTCCACAGGCAAGAACCACATGGTGGTCAGCCCCGACGACAGCCGCACCGACAAGCTGGAGTCGAGCATCTTACCGCCCCTGACGCACGAGCTGACAGCCAGCGAACTGCTGCTGAACAAGTAAGAGTCTGGCAGGGACCCCACCCTCACCCAGAGATCACCACTTACATGCACACTCTAGATTTATATGCAGAACAATTCATGCGTTTTTTAAGAAGTTCACCTAGACGTGTAGAGCAAACATGCAATTTCAGGACCTCTTGCACTGAAAGTACAAAACTAACTTCAGTCCTCCCATGACTGAATTACAGAACCAGCAAAAACTGCCAATAGACCTTTGTGTTGACATTTCTTCCCATAATAAAGTCTGATATTAGGTTGTCTCCAAAAGAAATACAGGCACATAAGAAGTGGGGGTGCATCAGGAAGGATCATGCTAAGTGAAAATCAGTCATCTGGAGACATTAAAGACAAGTGTATGTTTGTCGTGCTGTTTATTTGAACAGAATGTTTCACGACGATGAGCTTGAAGAATCAGAGAAATTCTACATGGAACAGCCCCGGTTCTTGCTGCTCTTCTATGCCATGTACAACACTCTGGTCGCCCGCTCAGAGATGGTGTGCTACTTCGTGATCATCCTCAACCACATGGTCTCGGCCTCCATGATCACCCTCCTGCTCCCCATCCTCATCTTCCTCTGGGCCATGCTGTCTGTGCCCAGGCCCAGCCGCAGGTTCTGGATGATGGCCATTGTCTACACCGAGGTAGGCCTCGGGCACCCACTCCTCGCGGGTGGCTCGGGCACTGTGCAGGGGAAAGCGCAGCTCCGCAGCCCTGTGCCCTCGCTCCAGATGGGCCCGCCCTGCCCGCCCGACAGTTTCACCCGGAACGCTCAGCTCCGTACACATTCTTAGATGCGCCAGTGACTAGCACTGACAGTTATCTAGCGCCCACAATTTCATGTGTCTTTTCACATTTCACACCTCACGCCTGGTAGGTGCTAGTATCATTCCCATTTAACACCTAAGGAAACGTCTTCGGTGACATTAAATAATTGACCCACAGTTGCCCATCCAACTGGCAAGTGGTAAGACGCTCTTGAGGCCTGGTTGCCTGACCTAGAATATGAACCACCAAGACAGGAACAGTCTTACTCATGCAGAACTGAGCCTAGTGCCTGGCGCCATGGGGTGGCCAGTGAAAGGCCACTGAATTCAGTGAGACAGCAAAGCACTTTGAATGCAGTTTGACGCAGCGTACATATTTTCCATCTTTAAACCTAAAAGTCAGCTTTCATACAGCACAACACAAAATGCTACAAGCACCTGCTTAAAATCTGAACAGCACAAAGGGTGGCTTGGCAGCCTGTTTTCATCGTGAGTGAGGGGAACATGGGCAGCTCGCCCAGTCGCATGCACCTGCTTTACTGTGCTGCCCTATTAAACATCGCAGAAGGTCACAAATTCCCATGAAAACCACAACGGCAGTAAAAGAAGCGCAGTGGGCTTCGTGCCCAGGACTGCCATGGTTCTTTCTATTCTTAGGTTTGCAAAGATGGCGGTTTTCTTCCTTGACTCACATAGAAAGGTTTTCACTTTCAACAGCACTGTAATCATCTCTTAAATGACACTGCTCCCCACGGAGGCACATTTAGAGCTTAGAAGTTTTGTGGGTTTATAAGTAATTCGACAATAAAATTAAAACAAAGTTATACAGTAAATCATATGAAAAGTATTCAAAGTATGGATAGCATGTATCTTATTTCCATAATGAAAATAAAGGATATAAAGCCAAATATTTATCTATCACTTTAATTGGCCTCTCCAAAATAACTGTTCCTAAACATTACTTACATTACATCACTCCGGGACACAAATGACTGCTGGGTTCAGGGAACGGCACCAGTCTGCCACACCTCTGTGTGCATGCATCTGTCAGATCTCCTTTCTTACCTAGGCGTGAGGTAAAAGGAGGAACCAAGAATGTGGAAAAGGGAATAAGAGCTACTCGTAGTTTTCACCTCAAAAATAAGATGTTCCTGGTTAAGTTGGGGCTCTGCATTTTACCTCACATTAAAGAGTGAAGTAAATGGGAAATTAAGCTGATGTTAACTCATTCTACAATTTGTACTGTGTGCCAAAAGCAGAGAACTATGCACAAGGATACAAAGATAAGTAGGAAAAAAAATAGATGTTTCTGGGTTTTAGTCACTGACAGACTAATATAGCATGCAGATATGAGGGCGGAAAGTGAAAACGGTATACATCCAAACCACATCATAAGCTCCTAAAGATTACAAATTAAAGAAATAAAATATAAAGCTATAAATATGTTTCTATTCAGGTTTGTCCTAATTAGCATATTTTAGCTGAATAATGATATAAATACCTAATTAAATTTAGCATAAATGCCAAGTAGGGGAAATGACCAATCATGTGGCGCCATGAGGAATCTGGCCTTTCTAGATGTGTAATTGAAGACACTTGCCACAGTAAGCTGTTCTTGTTATAAGCCAGCAGTCTGTGAGGATGCTCGTGTTGTTATCCCACATCATTGTGTGCATTCCTACCATCAAAACTGTGAAGTGGGTATTTTTCTTAATTTTTATGTCATTGTTTCTTTTATACAGGTAAATCTATTCCTAAGAGGAGGAGTAATTTTTTTTTAATTTCTATCATCTGTGTGTAGGTGGCAATTGTAGTCAAGTATTTCTTCCAATTTGGATTCTTTCCCTGGAATAAGCATGTGGAATTATACAAAGATAAACCTTACCATGCCCCAAATATCATAGGAGTGGAGAAGAAGGAAGGTTATGTTCTCTACGACCTCATTCAGCTCCTGGCTCTCTTCTTCCACCGGTCAATTTTGAAGGTAGGGGATGTTAACAACTAACCAGCTGGCGCTGATGACTGCAGCCCTGCCATGTTCCTGCAGAGCCTGAACACTAGGATTGGCCTTAGGGCCAGGGGGCAAGTGGGTGGTATCTACTTTTATGGCCTTTTTTTTTTTTTTTAAGAAAAAAGTTATGTTCATTTAGTTGTGGTGCTCAATTATAGAACTTACAACAAATCTGGGAGAAGATTTCCCCATATTTCTATCCCAGGTTGAACACATCGTAATTAATCCACATTTGTGGACTGTTGCTTGCTTGAATGGTATGCAATGTCTTAATGCCTGATGCACTAAATTCTACCCCTAGTTTAAGGCAGAACATCAGAGAGCTAATTTGGAGTGGACCCTATTGCCTCTTGTCTCCACCCCAGCTTCTGCCTAATTTCTTCTACTACAATTGCTTTTTATTACATAGTTTCTTGTCATGGAACCATTAGCTTTTGGTTAAGAGACCACATATTAAATGGTCTGGTGATGCCCAGAGCTATGCTTCCTTAAGCTTATTGTTGAGGAATCCATTCATTACCCTGATGTGGCAAGACCTTTATACAGGACGACCCCACCTCAGATTCAGTAACCCTGCTCCTTCTGAGCAACTTCGTGGTTTTTTTCTTCTCACACACTGTGAATTATAAACTAAGGCTATAAATATGCCATTAAACTCAATATAATAGAAAAGATTGCATGGCATACGTTTTATGTATTAAAGTCCTTAATGTCACAACCTTACTTTCCTTCTCTCATTTTAACCTTGTCTTCATTTATAAAATGTTTTAAATTTATGTTATCAAGTAGAATCTTTCTGGGTCCCTTTTTAGAATAGGGCTTTGCATAAGTTAATGTATATACATGCATATACATACATGCACACACAGCTATGTATCAGTGTGTTTAACTGCTATCTTAGCTCAGTGAGCTATTTCAAACTAGGTTTCATCTGCATATATGCTAGTCAAGATCCTCACTGTGTCTTGCAAAGTGCCCAAGCCCCCAACCTTCCATCCTGGGGGAGCCTTTCCTGGGTCACTGGAGCAAGGCAGGTTTATGAAAGGTGTGTTACCTAAGGAAACCAATTAGCCAAAATTGAATTTGCCTAAATTTCGCAAATTTCTGATGGATATGTTAACTGTTTGAATTTATTCAATATACTGATTCTTGCTAAGACTATATTAATAAATGTGTTAATATTTTTAGATCTAGAAAATTATATTTTTAAATTAAATTATTAATTTTCATTTAACATATGATGGTATAATTTTGACCACTTTAGAATTCTTTTGCAATTTTTGCATCCTTTTGCATATCATTTAACATTTTTTATAAGCCTTTAGGCATTTTTACAATCTTTTCATCAATAATCAAATGGCTTAACAGCTGTAATTTTGTATTTAAAGCGTATATTAAAAAATTTTGATGTTTCTTATTGGAGTACTTATACATGAAAATTTCATATATATGGTGAGTATATATGAGATTTGAGGTAATGCTATGCTGAAATTTTAACTAATAATATGAAAAGTACTTTTTGGAGTGATAAATCTTTCATAAGAAGACAAAAATACCTCATAGCCTTTGAAAAACAAGTCTTTTATACAATGTTGCTATAAAAATCAAATAATTAAAATTATGTAGAAATTTCAAAAGTGCTTCAAATTATCCTATTTAGTATGAATTGCTGTAAATTTTGTAAATAATTAAATTAAGGCAAATATCTACTGAGAAAGTTGTGAAAGAATCTAAATATGTTAATGTTGGAAAAAAAAACGACTTTTAAAATAAATTGAAAGAAATCCATATAAATGGAGAAATCCCATTATAAAAAGCTAAAATATGTGTTACATTTATAATGTATAAGAATACATTCATTGAATGTTTAAAAATAATCTATTTATAAATAAATATTTAAGAACACTGTCAATTGAATGATTTTGGCAACTGACAAATTATTCTTAAATATTTATTTGATAATTGATCATCCTCTGAGCTGGTTTTTAACAGACTGATTTTTGACAAATTAGCCTGGAGCTCTCATCCTCTGGAGCTGTGGTCCCCACGCCCTGGGGCTGCAGACCAGTGCTAGTCCATGGCCTGTTAGGAACTGGACCGCAGAGCAGGAGGTGAGTGGCGGGCCAGCCAGCAAAGCTTCATGTGTATTTATAGCCTCTCCCTGTGGCTCACATCGCTGCATAAGCTCCGCCTCCTGTCAGATCAGTGGTGGCATTAGATTCTCATAGGAGTGTGAACCCTACTGTAAACTGCACATGGGAGAGATCTGGCTCTTGTGCTCCTTATGAGAATCTAATGCCTGATGATTTGAGGTGGGGCTGAGGTAGCGATGGATGCTAGCGCTGGGAGGCAGATGCAGATACAGATTATCATTGACAGAGAGATTTGACTGCACAATAAATGTAATGTGCTTGAATCATCCAGAAACCTTGCCCGCCCCCCTAGGTCTGTGGAAAAATTGTCTTCCATGAAGCCATGCGCTGGTGCCACAAAGGTTGGGGAGACACTGCTCTAGAGTACAAGTCAGAGGGAGAACTGTCTTGGGGAGCAAATGCATAGCCTGACCGTTGAGTACTCAGCAGACAGTGAGCACTTTGGACAGCCCCATCTGATGGCAGCAAGGTCATCCTAAAGATGACTTGAAGTCCAGGCAGCGTCTTGCTCTGGCAAGACCCCTGGTCTCTCAGCCTCATGCTCTGCACTCATTCCTTCTCTCTTTGCCTGTCCTTTCATTCTGTTTCCTTGAATCAAAAACCATCACAATCTTTGCCTAACATGTGGGCCAACATGTTTTGAGTAGAACATTTGCAACTGTTTTTAAATCATGCTTGGGTGACTGGAGGGTTTGGATCTTGTTCTGCAGGCTGGGGAGGGACTGTATCATTCTTGAATTGAAGGCATTTGGTGAACACGTGGTGGGGCCTGACTCTTCAACTGATACTTCAAACACTGGTTATGAGCACAGAGACATGCTCTGAAAAATGCTTTCACTCAAGGAACAAGTCAAGTCATTATAATTTCCTCTTTATCCATCTGCCAAACATTATCTCTCTCTATCTCAGGTGATCAGCCAAACTCTTATCATCTACACCCACCGTTTCCACTGTACTGGGACTCTCATAAAGTGTTAGATAATAAGTTTTCTTCCCTTGTTTTTCTAAATCTTGTGGGACAGTTTGTTGGGTTAGATTTTGTAGGACAGGTCACCAACGGTCCCACCTGAAACACTGGTTCAATTGTCCCTTTCCCTGGTTTTCAGTGCCACGGCTTATGGGATGAAGATGACATTGTTGAAAGTGGCTCAGACCAGGAAGACTCTGATGATGAGCTCTCCCTGGCCCGTGGCAGAAGAGACTCCTCTGACTCCCTCAAGTCCATTAACTTGGCCACGTCCGTGGAGTCAGTGCACGTTACCTTCCCGGAGCAGCCCGCGGCCATACGCAGGAAATGCTCCGGCAGCAGCTCCCAGATATCCCAGAGGTCCAGCTTTTCTTCAAATAGATCCAAAAGAGGTATCTTTTAACATGGTATCTCCAGCCTGGAATAAGCCCCCAAATTGTCTAGTTTTTATGGTGCCTGTGGGTCTGGGGCAGGGGATTTTATTGGGTTCTATCAAGAAACAGATACCAGGACGTGAAAAGAAAGTGCTTTGAAATCGGACAGACTCAAGTTCAATTCTTGCGTCAGCTGTGTGAGTTCATTGCTCAAAACATCCTATTCCCTCTAAGACGAGGATTTCAGATAGTTGGGAAAAGTGGCCAGCACACTGCCTAGCACCTGGCAAGTGTCAGGCTCATGATGATTTTAAATTATATGCAAAATTCTGTTGTGCATTACCAGAGTGCTATAAATCACAATTTATTTTGATAATGTATTTAGATTTAATTGATAGGAACTTTTAGCCAAACTACTAATTATTGCCTATGCTAGTTATTAATTTCTTACTAACCAGCAAGTACAATCAGAAAGTAGATATGCCTTACAGTTGTCATTCTTAGAGTAATTGGGCTTTTGTACTTACAGTGCTCATGTCTAAAACTTTCAAACACCTGTGTATATTCAACTTCAGAACCTACTTTTGAGGCAGACACTGGCCTTAAAAGATCATGTCATATCCATTTTACAGTTAGATAAATTAGGATATGAAAACAGGCATGGGTCATGGATATTATCCGGAAATCTGTAACCTAAGACCTTTTTTTAGCACTGTAAAAACTGCTATTCCAGTTTATTTCTTTCTGGGACAAAGATTATGAAACAATCCAGGAAGGAGCCGCCATTGAGTGTGGGACTCCACAGACCTATCTTACTACAGAGGCAGAGTTGAGAGGACAGACCCCAAATTGCTGAGTAATTATTCTTAAAGGCAATCTGTGCATACTCATCATCCAACTCATCCTCATCCTCTGAGGCATCCTCTCAGTAGTGAATAAAGGCTCTGAGACTAGTTTCAAGCCATCCCTCTGCTGTGTGGGCTCTGGGGGCTTTTGAGATATTCATGCTAATAAACCCCATTCTTTTCCATACATCATATGATTCATTTTTCTTTCTAGGCAGCACAAGCACTCGAAACAGCAGTCAAAAAGGAAGCAGCGTTCTGAGCATTAAGCAAAAAAGCAAAAGGGAATTTTATATGGAAAAACTTCAAGAACATTTAATCAAAGCAAAAGCTTTTACCATCAAGAAGTGAGTCCATGAAAACATTCGAGTCATCTGCTTTATTTTAGGGCTGGGGAACTGGTATCCATTATTTCCTATAAACCAGGGGAGGAGCAGAGAAGTCACTTCCTATATCATAAACATCATCTGTGTAAGGCAGGGTAAATAGGCCCCTTGTTGTATTGTTTGAAAAATCATTTTTCAATAATCATGATTTATTTTTATATCTGTTGCATTTATACACACATTTTTTCTATTTGAACAGAATAAATAAGTCATTTAAAGGGCTCAAGGTTTCTGTTTCTAGACATTATCACGATAGAGTCCAAACAGAGAGGAACATGATGTCAGAGCTGGAAGGGCCATAGAGATGCACTCTCGTCCTGAGGGGGAGGGGGCACATGATGGGGAAATGGTTTGTCCAGTGTCATGACACTTGGTCCCCAGCAGACTGCACAGGTCCCTCCCACCTGCTGGGGATGGATGTGCTGCGGCAGGCTGGGGTTGCTGAATAAAGGCTCCGAGCCCAGGAGAGCTGGCCATACCTGAACGTGGCCTTTCATTGAAAGCAGATCCCAGAGTGCAGCGAAGATGGGTCAGAGGGTAGACAGACAAGCCATAGCCAGCAGGACGCTGTGATAAAGCACAGAGCAAGGTGGAGGTAAAAGCCCAGGGCAGCACTTGAAGCCAGGATAGGCTCAGGACCCTACGCCTGGAGAGCAGAAGGCATCCAACATCCCAGCATGCTCAGACCAGATGTTCCAAGTCTGACCACCCTCACATATTCCCTCATGTAATTATCATCTTAGCCCAGGCATCAGGTATTATTATTACCCCAGTTTTACTGAAGAGTAAACCAAGGTACAGAGAGTGACATAGCATGCTCAAGGTCCCACGGGTAGTGAGCAATTGAATCAGGCTACAAATGCAGCACCTAATTTCAGGGCTTTTATACCTCTCTATTACGCTTTGAGCAAGAGGACAGGCTTGAGGTACCACCAGAGAGGGCTGTAGTACCTACTTTGGCAATAATCTGTATACTCGTTATGCCCCAGCAGGCTATCTTGAGGCTAAGAGAGGAAGGTGGAGCCTGGCTAGAAAGAGGAATGCAGAGGAGTGACGTGATCACAGTGTCTGGTCATTTCTGCCATCCTGCTCCTCCTGAAACAAGTGGGTGGGGTTCTCTGTTTTGCAGGACTCTGCAAATATACGTGCCCATCAGGCAGTTCTTTTACAACCTCATCCACCCGGAGTACAGCGCTGTGACCGATGTGTATGTGCTCATGTTCCTGGCTGACACTGTGGACTTCATCATCATTGTCTTTGGCTTTTGGGCCTTTGGGGTAGGTTGGGGACAAAGGCCACAGCATACTCAATGACACAGGGTGACGGCTCTCCTTCCTGGGAAGTGCCAGTCATGTTTGAACATGTTGTCTCTTCCCCAGAAACACTCAGCAGCCGCAGACATCACCTCCTCGCTGTCAGAGGACCAGGTCCCAGGGCCATTTTTGGTGATGGTCCTCATTCAGTTTGGAACCATGGTGGTGGACCGAGCCCTCTACCTCAGGAAGACCGTATTGGGAAAGGTGATTTTCCAGGTCATCCTTGTGTTTGGAATTCACTTCTGGATGTTCTTCATCTTACCTGGTGTGACTGAGAGGTAAGGTGTTCAGAAGCGGGAGGAATGGGCCCACCTTAATGCAAATACGTTGCATACGGCTATCACTGCATATGCATTTGCACAACTCAATCGCCAGCTATAGGCAGAGGCGTGGCAGGGCAGCATCACAGGTAGGAAAAGTTAAAGGTTTGAATCAATATTAAATTCAGTGCCAATCCAAAGTGTGAATGTATTCCTCAAAATATATTAATTGGATTTTGTCCAATTTTCAGAATAAGAGGGTGACAGCCTTAATGACCAGAGCAAACCTAGGGTCCTTGTGTTGTGTTTCTCTATCCACCTTACTAGACATGGAGACAAAGTGGAGCATGGTCTTAGGAGCATTTTTAAGAGGAGGATAGGCATGAGACTCTGTCATGTAAGAGGTGGAGGAACAGGATGGAGGTTAAGTGGTTGAAGAAAACACAGAGGAAGTGGGGGCACATAATAGTGGTTATCTGCCACAGAGGCAAGTGGTGGGGTTAAAGACAGCAGGTTTGGAAGCAGCTGACAAGGTCTGGGCACATTATAAGAGGAGTGGGCAGACCCAGCATGCCAGGATGCTGCTGCCGTAATACCGCCAGGACTGCTGGCTGACGGGAATGGAGGGTCAGGCTGGGTGGGATTGAAAAAGGGCAGTAGGGAAAGCGCTGGTAAGATCTCTGAGGGTGGCTGCTGTCTTTCTCTTTGTTTCCTGGAACCCTAAACACTAGGAGTGCTCCCCAAGGCCCCAGTGTGCCAGGTCCCCTCGCGTCTCAAAGCTCTGCTCTCTCCCCTGCTCTCCTCTCTCCTGCCTCCAACCCACAGTTCTGCTTCCTCCTCACGCGTCACTTCCCGCTCCAGGTGCCACTCCTCCTAGCTGGTCCCTCACCCCACACCTCCACCCAGAACAGCACTTGTCACCAAGTTGGTGCATAATGCATGAACAAAGGAATGTGTCAATCTATAAAGAAAATAGAGCAGATTGCTGTAAATGAGAAGTATCAGCTCTGTTACTTCTGAAAGAAAAGGGTCCCCACAGAAGGTAAATATGGAAGTGTCCACATAATACGATGGGAATTTTTAATAAATTCATCTGAATTTATGTGCACAAACAAACCATAACTCTCTGTCATTGGTTTGGGGGGGCCAGACCCCTCATCCAGTGAAGCTGTCGTTGTCACGGCCCTGAAATCCTTCCTTTGGAATTGCCTTCCCAGACTGTGGCGTACTGTCTCAAACATCCTCAGGCATCACTGAAGAGTCTTCCTAGTAAATCTGATCTTTTGATCATACCTCAGAGTCCTTTGCAGCCAAGTCTCATGACTAATGTATCAATCAAGCAGGTGAATACCATTTTGGGAAATGTGAATAGAAAGTAATGAAAAATGGATTTCACTTATATGACTCATAAAATAAACTGATTCAAATGTAATGTCTAATGAGAAAATCTAAATTTTTTCTAATCGTGGCTGGACCTAAATGGCTGCTTTTTCATTGAATGTTTAGACTCTGATCTTTTGATTTTAGTATAGGAAAATAATAAATTATTTATAACAATAAATAGTGATAATGCAAATATTTTAAAATGAAAGTAGAATTAGGATACTCTTTCCTGAGTCTAAAGTAGAACTAAATAAATAAAGAATTGTTACCCAGAAGACACCCAATAGCCCAGTAAATTCCCCAATCCACCACATGTTGGGAGAGTAAATATGGCTCAGATTGTAAGAATAATTCAGATGAAGGCAGTTGTCTATACAAATATTAAGATTTGTTCTGGAGAATGTTGTGAATCTTATTTCTTGGTCTTTAAAATAGAATAAATATGATTTTCGCTACAAATATTTAATTATATGCTTTAAATCAGAGAAATAAACCAAATTCAACACTCAAAATAGCTGAATGGTGAATTTAGATGTTTTTCCTGATATTTAAAAGCATCACTCTTACCCTGCTGATGGGACTGCAAATTAGTGCAACCTTTGTGGAAAAGAATTTGAAGATATCTCAAAGAGCTAGAAATAGAAATACCATTCGATCCAACAATAGCATTGTTAGGCATCTACCCAAAAGAACATAAAACATTCTATTATAAAGACATCTGCACCTGAATGTTTATGGCAGGACAATTCACTATTGCAAGGACATGGAAACAACCCAAGTGCCTGTCAATTCATGAGTGGATAATCAAAATGTGGTATATGCTCACAATGGAATACTACTCAATTCTAAAAAACTACAGCAAGCTAGCACCAGTTATACTATCCTGGATTAAGCTTAAGCCCATTATCCAAAGTGAGGCGGCACAAGATCAGGAAAACGGGCTCCACATGTACTCACCATCAAATTGGTACTGACTGATTAAAACTACGGGGCTCAAATGGTGGTAGTGCTCACCAGGGATTCGGGGGTGGGGGGAGACCCACATCTTAGGAATGTGGTGAGCATTGTGGAGGGGAAAGGGCATGCCTCTAACCCTTCTTAGGAAGAGGCAAAGATATAAAAGGTAACCAAAATGTAAAAACTACAACAAAAAACCTTTATAGGTGGTGGGAGGGGGGGGGGATGGGTGTATACTTACATAGTGAGTGCGATGTGCACCACCTGGAGGATGGAAGCTCTGACACAGGGCGGGGGGCAGGGAGGGATGGCAAGGGCAATATATGTAACCCTTAACAATATTTGTACCCCCATAATAAGATGAAATAAAAAGAAATAAAATAAAGAAATAAAATAACAAAGAAAAAGCTTCAAATAAGCATTTTCTACTAGCTCTCATAGAAACTTTTAATTTCAGAGAGGAAAAAGACCTTAAAAAGCTTTCTAAACCTACTATCTAATTTTGCAGATTGATAAGTGAATCCCATAAAGAAAAGTTATTTCCCCAAAGTCATTCAGTAGTGCATAGTGATACCAGCTCCGAATCCCAGGACTCCGGGCCCTTGCGCAGGTGCATTATCTACTCTACAGGACTCCCTCCCCAAGGGGAGTGTCCTGTGCTTTCTTGCAAGCAGACTTTGTAAAGTAACACAGCTTGCTGTTCATTGCAAGGTGAAGGCTTTGCTTATTCCAATCCCAGAAGACAGCATGGAGCCCAGAGCCTGGCTCTCTGCCAGGTCCTGGTAGGGAAGCCCACTGAGGGCAGTGCTTCCAGAATATGCAAAGGCAAAGCCACAGGGGTCACCTTAGCAGACTGGAGCCACCAGATGCTTCTGTTTTTCCTGCATGATAAGTTTCCTGTTGCTGCTGCACGAATTCAGTGGCTTAAAGCCACACAAGTTTATCATCTTATAGCTCCTAGGTCAGGAGTCCACAGTGAGTTTCACTGGGCTACAATCAAGGAGTTGGCCTGGATGTGCTCCTCCCCAGAGCTCCAGGGGTGATGTTTCTTTCCCTTTTCCATCTTCTAAAAGCTGCCCACATTCCTTGGCTGTGGCCCCTTCCTCATCTATGAAGTCAGCAGGGATGGGTCGATCCTTTGCATATTGCATCTTTCTGATGCTGCTTCTGTGGTCACTTCTCCCTCTGCCCACAGCCAGGAAAGGTTCTCCCCTTTTAACAGCTCTTTGTGATCAGTCTGAGCCCACCTAGGTAATACAGGATAAGTTCCCCATCTCTAGGTCTGTAACCTTAATCACATCTGTGAAGTCTGCTTTGCCACGTACAATAGCATACTCAAAGGTTCCAAAATTAATACGTGTGCATCTTGGTTGGGGGGAGGACATTGTTCTACCACACTGCTATTCTCAGGCTTTTGAAGAGACCAACAGCATAGCAACACCTTCCAAACCACATATAGCTGGAATGTTTGCTACAATATAATGGCAGTGTTTTCAAGTGGGTCCCTCCTATAAAAGTCTCCCATATACTCTTCAGTTAATTTTATGGATTGAGTGCCTTCATTATATAACCCAAAAAGTTACTCCTACATTGTCTACCAGATGCTAAATTCATACCTCATTGTAAAAAACAGACCTGTACTCTCTCTTAAAAGCTGGAAGTATTTCTTTTCACTATTTGCTGTGTCCAATTTAGCTGTTTCTTTCACATCTCTGAGCTTTGCTTGGAACATCCCATCCTTCTCTCTTTGGCTAACTCTGATTGGCCTACTATGTCATGTCTTCAAGACCACCTCTTTCAGGAAGCCTTGTCTGGCATCACAATCTTAAGGTAAAGGTCCTTTCTCAGTGTTCTGTGTATAATTTCTGTCAGAGAACTTATTTCACTCTATTAAAATTGCCAGGTTGGTATCTATCTCTTGTAATAATCTGTGAACAACTGGTGACCAAGGGTTATTTTTCATCCCTCTGTTCCCAGCATGGAGTGCATGGTCTGGCACAGAGTTATTCTGAGTGTGGTCTGCAGATAAGTACCAGTCTGTGAAATGTTTATAACTGGTATGTGATGAAATACATTCAGAAATGGAGAGTATTTAGAAATCTTGCTAGCAATTATTGACAGATAGACCAATTTTTTTCTGTTGAATCTAATAATTTAAAAATGGGATGGTATTGTATCTTTTTGTCTTTGTCTTTGTCTTTTATATTTTTTAGTTATTCATGCTTAATATATTTTACAAAAGCATCGATTCACTATAGGTGAGAAAAAGTTTGAGAAGCACTTGCCTAGCCCATATTAGATACTTGATAAATGTTTGTTGATGATTGAATGGATGAAAGTTTCTCCTGTTGGGACTTGCAGTCGTGTATATTGTATGCAGCTGTACTTTACTTTGGGGTGCCAAGGGCACCCCAAACACTATGGTGGGTTCCAGGCCTTATGGTAAACACTGTAACCATGGCCACAGAGATCATTTCTGTCTCTTTGAATATCATCTTGGAGCCCCGTCAAATGGCAATTTCTAGTGCAAGGGGTTATCCTGTCTTTGTTTTTGGAGATTTAATGCAAAATATATTAGGATTAGTGAGCCTTTTTTCTGTCTTCATTGCCAGCATGTCACTGATAATATAATTTCTCATCATTTGAAACCATGCTGCCATTACTTGTTAACATCCAAA